GGGCCACTAAACATGGACCAAACCGGGGGGAAGCTCAAGGTCTGCTTAGGGCCACTGAGACAATCAAGACTTTGCAGGTTGTTCGGTAGAACCCTGTGGCTCTGTCCAACTATCCGGTCCTCAGCTAGTCACTCACCGAGCCATGACAAGCCATTGGCCAGCCTTGACATGACAAGGGCTGGTGGACACGCCAAAGCGGCCCCCCTAGCGCCACAGAAAAGCTGAAGTATCAGTGCTCGCGAATCATACGAAACGTCTCTTGACTAGCATTCGCTTCAAATCTGTGTCCTCTTAATGGCCCCAACTCTGATCAACAAATTCTAGTTGCCGAATAAGTGGCCGAAGTACAAATCCCTCAGGCCAAGTCCGTGGATTTTCTCAGCTCGCTTGGGGGTCACCTGGTCACCGCTTTATGGGCAATGACCCCCAGGTTTGTCAGGCTCAGGAGATTTGAGGTACAAAAACGGGTTCCGGACCCTTTGGCAAACATCAGACTTCAGCCAGCCCCTTGTGGTTGCTTGTTCCAACTTTCGAAACTGAATGTCCTTTTTTGGGGGACCCCCAGTCATTCGCCCATTGAATCCCAGTTACCCTTGTAGTAAGTAACCACCTATTTCCCATTTGCTGTTGTAAAGGGTGGTTCCCGTGGCTACCTACTATACAGGTAGATGGATCCACTGGGTAGACCTGCAAAGTGATGATTCTCCTTTTGGGTTCCCTTAACCCGAAACGGGTATCGACTCCAAAATTCACTTCCAGCTGAGTAGATGCGGCCTAAGCAAACATTGGTTTACCACCAACATGGTCCAAACCCAAAAATAAATGGACCTGAGTAGGACAAAAAAACACTCGTAGCCCAAACATGGGAGCGTCTTCTGAGGGGGCACCTTTGTTGTACGATTTGAAGGGGCACCAAGAACTCACTTCTTGAGCGGATGGCCCAAACAAGTCTGAACTTGTTGTTTCCCACTAAAACGGTCCTCCCAAAAAGTTCCAAGTCCGTGAACTCAGGAAGTGAGAGAAAGCACAACACCTCATATATGTTTTCTTCTAGGGGGCCACCATCTTGGTGGGGACCCCATCGGTCCCCCAAAAGCTTCAAGCCACCTCCGCCACCTCGACGTCTCCGGTTTGCCCGGCCGCCGAGTGTCGCGTCCCGTCCCGTCTGGGCCTCCCGGAGCAGCGTGGTCTTGCCGGCGTCCGGCACCCCCGCCACCACCAGCAGCCGCAAACGCGCCAGGTGCAGCCGCAGCAGCGCCACTCGGCCCGCCACGGACTGCGCCTGCGCTCGAAGGCGGTTCGGGGGCTCCGGCGAGGGGCGGGACCGTCTGGGGGGCGGGTGGTGGGCTCGTTTTTGGGTGGGCTTCAGGTTGAGTGGGTGGGTTGAGTGAGGGTGGTTTGAGGGAAGGGAAACTGTGGGTTTGGCAGGGGTACCTGGAATTTCCCCTTCAAAGGTTGATCATTTTCCTGGCTGGAGGTGCAAAAAAGGAAAACAGCTCGGAAACCTTGTTTGGGGTGGGTTCAGGGTTGGCTTGGGGTGGGTTTGAAAAGGTGAGTCCACCTTGGCGCGCAGTGGAGCTCACCGCCATGTCTGCGGGGATATTCCACGACTCATGTCCAAGCGTCGAACCTGGACATTTGTATCTGGCGGCACTTCATTGAAAAATGTGTGCGTGATGGCAGGGCATCATTGTCTTCAAATTAGTCTCCTTTCAACAACTTGCTCGTGCCCCGTAAAGAAGTGACCTTCCGGTCCCTTACCGGGAACCACAGGGGATGCTTGTCTCGGGGGTCATTCTCCTAGGTCCTCCAGTAGAGCGGTTAGAATAAGGGTACCCTTTTTTTCTGTAGTCTATTTTAGTATCGGCACCCTCCCCCCAAAAAAGAAACGGTCAAAGGGCACCCTGCCTATCGAAGCGAGACCAAAATTACCCTCGAACACCCGCATCGCCCGCCTGCTGGGCCGCGGTGGCCTTGCGAACGGCACCGGGCCGGCTTAGGGGTGGGAGAGGTGGGTTTGAAGGGGGATTGGGGGTGGGGAGGAGGCTGGGTTTGGGGGGGGGGGGGGGCTTGTGGGGGACATTTTTTGGGTGGCTGATTACATGGCAGCCGACAGGACCCGGAAGACCATTTTCCTATTAAGGCCCTCTGGATTGTTTACTGAATGGCAGGAGGGTAAGGAGAGGCACAAGCGAAATAACATCCCCACCATCCAAACAGAAGATTGTCCAATGCAGCCCAACGCCAGGTGTTATGAAGAAAGGTGGCACTGGTAAATGATATCGCACCGAATTGAAGCGGGTGGAAACTAGCGATCCTACCTCCTGCTTGATTGAAGTGGGACCTTTGGCCCCTCCGATTCGAATCGGGACGCAAGTTCAGTATGGTCACTTTGGGGCCCGGCACGTAAGTTTGAACATCCCACCGCTTTCCATGCAAACAAGGTAATTAAGATGATTAATACCCAACCAGCAGCACAGTCTCAAATCTCGTTTTCCAATGCTCACTGAAACTTTCGGCCCCAGCCCAGTGCCCAAGAATGGCGTAAGCCTCCAAAAAACCGTACATACAAGGCGCCAGCACAAAACAGCAGCTGGGAAAAGCTGTACCTGCCTGGCCTTAGCTTCATCACTTGCATGATCATGTCCGGCCTCCCTTTACAGTAATGTTTCAGATTCACTGAACGGTTGGAAGATGGAATTTGGACAATATCCAGTATCAGGAAAATCATCGTGGGCGTCTTCAAAATGAGGGGGTTCTCTTTGGCTTCCTTGAAGCAGCCAAAACATTGTGGCTCCCTTGGGTCTCCCTTTAATTCAAACCAACCCGTTAAAAAATAGTTGAACGGCTTTTTAGCCCCGGCTCAACCAACAAATATCCAAGACCTGCCCTCATTAGATCTCAACAAGCCCAACATTCACCCGAAGCCAGCCCCGAGCAACTTTCTACTGCCAGCAAATCAATGCCAATAGGCCCAACCAACCAACCGACCAACCGACCGACCAAGCGACCAACCGACCAGCCACCTGACTGGGGTTAAGCCCCACGGCTAGCCAAAAAGTCACCGGATATTTTGAAGGATACCCCTCCCTCCCCCAGAAAAAAAGAACAACAAAAAAACACACACACACACACACACAAGCTGTAGCCCGGTGTGTCTGCTCACGCCTCTTCCGATTCAGATAGCAAGCACTGCCAGTGGTTCCTGGGCCGGCAAATTCACATTCAGGCAAATCACAAAAGATCTGGACATCGGAAGGTGAATGGGTCAGAACCTCGACTCGACGTGGCTGTGTCTCTTGTCCCCTTGTTTGTTTGTTTGTTTTAGGGGGAAAGCAAAAAGAACACCACCATTGGGGAGGTCCCTCAAAAAAGACACACCAACATGGCAATCTAGTCAGACTCACCAGCATCGCTTGGTTTTAAAATCTTCGTGCCAGGTGCCCGCTTCCCCAAATCCTTTGAAGCCCCTCTGGTTCCGGAAGCAGTGAAACTAACCAAGGTAAGTCAAGGGAGGGAAGCCTGCAAATCAAAGGCTCCAATGTCACAACATATCTCCAGTCCTGAGAAACATCCCACATGAGGCGCGCTCGTTTCAAGAGACACGAGTTGCAAGCCCTAACATTTCTCCTCTCATGGAACAACGTGCGAATAGCTGGCATGCAAACGTGACCTGCTTGAATCAACACCATCTCTTTTGCTATCAGCTTGGCCCTCACACCTGGCAATCGAGCGGTCAACGGAACTTATCGTGTTTCCTCACCTTGGCCTTCCTTAGCCCGTTTTCAAGTCTACACTCATGACACTCTCTAGTATGCTGTCACTCGATACGCCAAATATCCCCAAAAATGTGGCTGCCACTTCCGTTCTGCCAAGCCGAGGCCATGAAGAAAGCACGCTGCCTCGTCTTCTTGTTGAGGCTCGGCACCCCCTTTCTTTGCGGGTTTAAAGGGAACCCTAAAGGAAAACCAATATGTCGGGGGTCCCCACCCGAAAAATAAGAAGACACGCCCATGTGTTCAACTCTCTCTTGCGATAAACCTATGCGTGCCAGGCACGCATAGAATGCCTGTGCTGGCTCGGCTGCCAGACAGCAAGCCGGAACATAGAGGGGACCGTCCATCAACCATGATCCCTTTCAAGCCAGCTATTGCGCTTCCCTCATCTGCTAAAAAGGTGGTTTTGCATTCTAGCAAACCCCACGATCATGAATCTGCAAAGAATTTTGAAAGAGACCATGAACTGCGCAGCCGCCCTTTCAAACTCGCGGTCGTTGCTTTCTAGGGCCTCTGGCCTCTTGGGATTCCCACTCGCGTCAAACAGAAGGGGGACCGGGGTCCCCGAATTCGCTTTCATGTTTAAAGGGGTGGGGATCCTTGCAGTGACCAAAAAAAAATGCCGCCCGATGCTCGTGTTGAGCAGGTCGTGTGCCGAACGACGGGACGACGCGTCGTGGAGTCGTGAAGGAGCGGCCCGCCAAAAGCCCGAGCCGGATCTGTAACTTGGCACATTTGGACAAACGAACAAGCGGGGATACAAAGGGAGCGGGGATATGGGGGGATTCCCTTGGCGCCATTTCCCATATCAAACGAAGTCAAGATGCATTTAGGGGGAATCCTCCCGTATTCCTTCTTCCCCCTGTATCCCTGCTAGTTGGTTTCCCTGACACATCTTTGCCACATTCCACTCCAAGACGTACCCCAAGACGGACAAAGAACACAGGAAGAAAGCACCTGCATGGTTGGCGCTTTGCCGGCTTTTGGAATCGGCCGCGTCACTTTGTACATCTACAAGCACTTTCGCGCCGCTGCCTTGCCTGGCCGAAGGGTTCAGGCTTTGAGGCCATCAATTCCTGATGCCAAGGCCCGGACGGGCCCTGGCCCTACCTCCCAGCTGCTTGATCATATGGGAAATGTAGGGAGCCAAGTTGGATGCCATCAAAGCGCCCGAGTTGGGCTAGGGATGTTCACCATGCAACTAGGGACTGGGTTTGACACTCTGAGGGGGTCATTTCGTGAACCGCGGGCCTTTTCAACATAAAACGCGACTTTGGCCGCATTGAAAAACGGCGCCGGTTCACCGGAGAAGTCTCCCTGGATCCTTGCGAAGCGAGCGCTGAACCCCCAGGCTCCCAGGATCCGGCTTTGAGCTCCTAGCCTTTTTCTGGGTTCCAAAGGGGCTCAAAGCCAGAAAGCAACCAAAAACCAAAAAAACGAACACATCTAGCCTTTTTCTGGGGCTCAAAGCCAGAAAGCAACCAAAAACCAAAAAACGAACACATCTAGCCTTTTTCTGGGGCTCAAAGCCAGAAAGAAACCAAAAAACAAAAAAACAAACACATCTAGAAAGCAACCAAAAACCAAAAAAACGAACACATCTAGCCTTTTTCTGGGGCTCAAAGCTAGAAAGCAACCAAAAACAAAAAAAACGAACACATCTAGCCTTTTTCTGGGGCTCAAAGCCAGAAAGCAACCAAAAAACAAAAAAACAAACACATCTCAGAAAGCAACCAAAAACCAAAAAACTCAAAGCCAGAAAGCAACCAAAAACCAAAAAAACGAACACATCTAGCCTTTTTCTGGGGCTCAAAGCCAGAAAGCAACCGAACACATCTAGCCTTGTTCTGGGGCTCAAAGCTAGAAAGCAACCAAAAACCAAAAAACGAACACATCTAGCCTTTTTCTGGGGCTCAAAGCCAGAAAGCAACCAAAAACCAAAAAAAACAAACACATCTAGACCTTTTTCTGGGGCTCAAAGCTAGAAAGCAACCAAAAACAAAAAAAACGAACGCATCTAGCTTTTTTCTGGGGCTCAAAGCCAGAAAGCAACCAAAAACCAAAAAACGAACACATCTAGCCTTTTTCTGGGGCTCAAAGCCAGAAAGAAACCAAAAAACAAAAAAACAAACACATCTAGAAAGCAACCAAAAACCAAAAAAACGAACACATCTAGCCTTTTTCTGGGGCTCAAAGCTAGAAAGCAACCAAAAACAAAAAAAACGAACACATCTAGCCTTTTTCTGGGGCTCAAAGCCAGAAAGCAACCAAAAAACAAAAAAACAAACACATCTCAGAAAGCAACCAAAAACCAAAATAACGAACACATCTAGCCTTTTTCTGGGGCTCAAAGCCAGAAAGCAACCAAAAACCAAAAAAACGAACACCAAAAACCCTAAAAAACGAACACATTTAGCCCTTTTCTGGGCAAAGCCAGAAAGCAACCAAAAACCAAAAAAACGAACACATCTCAGAAAGCAACCAAAAACCAAAAAAACGAACACATCTAGCCTTTTTCTGGGGCTCAAAGCCAGAAAGCAACCAAAAACCAAAAAAACGAACACCAACAACCAAAAAAACGAACACATTTAGCCTTTTTCTGGGGCTCAAGGCCAGAAAGCAACCAAAAAACAAAAAAATCAAAACACATGACAACAAAACACCGACACAAAGCAACGAGGCGAAACCTTTTTTGGCCAAACCTTGAGGCTCAAGCTATGAAGCCGTGAACGAGAGCACGGGCCGCAATGGAAACCTTCAGCGCCTCAAACATGAACACGGCACCTGGTATTACAAGAATCAAACCATATCTTCCGATATGGCCAAAACAGGAGTTAGAGTGGGCCGTTTCGGCCATAGATGCAACGCAAGCTAGCAATCTGCAGGCCAGTTGCCAATTCCTCTCTTCCTAGCCACGCAGCACTGGCTCTTAGACTACTCACTGGCTTCCTTATCCAAAACAAACAAATTTGCAGATGGTTTTTCTTGGGGGGGACCTTACCTGCCGGCCATCCGACAAAAAACCGCGAAAGGAAAACCTTCGAATGAACCAACCGGCTTCCCCTTTCGGCTTTTTGAACTCTCCGGGTGCCGCGTTGACCAAATCACATCTTTTTTGGAACCGCTTCCTATATGGGACCACCTACTAAATAGGACTACTTACTAAATGCACCACCTGCTCTACCTATGAGACCAAATCCTCCATTTGCTGAGTCGCTGTGGAAAAATGAGCCACTATTTCCAGTAGTGAAATCGATTCCCTTTAAAACCTCACGGGAAGAAAAAACAACTTGACCAAATGGAAGAAATGCCCCGCTGAAATAACTACATATTCTTTACCCATGTGAACCAGATCCGTTTTGCCCGGGCTTCGTTCGTTTTTGGGTCCTCAGCGCCAGGACTGGCGGGTCTGCTTCAGGTTGGCCGGGGTCCGGGGCTGCATACTGCCTGCGGTCTGGGGTGGGCGACCTTCGGAGGTCCCGGGAAAAACCGCCTCAGAGGGCTGTGGTGAAAAATAGTTGGTAACCCCAAAATGGGTTGCCCGTTCGGTAAATGGGTTGCCAAGGACTAAAACCTGCTTTTGGTTTGCCCTAGCTCTTTACTCTTGAGCCACACCCAAATCAGCACCGCCCCCCCCGTTGGAAGCCCCGCTCAGAGTTTCAAATTCACCAGAGCTGCTGTAAAAAGTCTAGGAACGTTTTGCAAAACACACCAAACGCGTGCGTTTCAAGTCTGTAAAAGTATCAAGTTGGCTTCGGGTTGTTGACCCCGGACATCAAATCACCCCGTCCTATTTCTAGGTCGGGTTTAGTAGGATTCAGACTGCTTTTGCAGGGTTCGGAACACGGGAACACCGCTATGTAATTTTTGGGGCCGACATCAGGTCCAATTTCGGCGGAACCCCATGGCTTCCCTAGGTCCAACTCAGCTTCTAAAAGCAAATCCAAACCACTTCGAGCCACCAAGGGGGTTAACTACCTTAAATATGGCTGGGGGTGGCGTTACCTTAGTTCCCCCCCCCAACTCCCTATATTAGATGGATATTCTTGTTAACTTCCGAAACCAAAAGACTACCCCCCCAACAAAAAGAAAGAAAAGATAAGACATACACACACACACACCAAAAACATGCAAAGGATCGCCTGGGCTCACCTCCCTCCTTCCCTCCCCTCCCTTTCTTTCCCTGCCCGCCGCCGGCCCCCAGCAGTGCTGAAGACAGACAGGAATGCCCATCCAAAACACACACACACGCACACACCCAACCCCCCCCCCCAAAAAAAAAGGAAAGAAAAATACAAAAATAAACAAACAAACAAACAAACAAACCAACAAACCAACAAACCAACAAACAAACAAACAAACAAACAAACAAACAAACACAAACAAACAAACAAACAAACAAACAAACAAACAGACACACACACACACACACCAAACAAAAACACACACACAAAATACAAAAAAAAGGAAAAAATGCAACACACAAATGCATGGACCTTAACCACCGAAGACGTCCAAACACCAAAAAAAAACGGCTCCGCGGAATCCGAGCGTTTCAATGTCTCACCGAGGTGCCCAGCCGCAGCTCGTCCACGTGCTTCTCCAGCCTCACCAGCCGCTCCGCCATGTCCTCCGATCGATCCCGCGGATGCCAAGGACCGAAGGGCCGTCTTCAGCTCCGAAGGCCGTGGTCGAATGACTTGGAGGAATGTCCAGTGATAGGTTCGAAACCTAAGCCTAAAACTACCCCCTAAAATTTGACCCATTCAAACATCAATGGTTGTAGCCTAGTGGGGTGAACATCTCCAAGTGCCCTTATCTTGTCACTCTGAAAAAGTGACCAAGCTGTGCGCCACTGTCCTCTCAAGTTCAAAGCAGCCAAACTCAGAGAGTGATGAAATAAAATCACAGGCAAGCAAAGGCAACCAAACTCACGTGGCTTGGCCAGAAAAAGTCCAGGAACTTTCTGTCCGCCAAAATGGGTCGTCCCAAAAAGTGACTGAAGCCTATAACCTCGGAGTGTGATGCAAAACCAAACATACTTGATCATACTTATGTGCCTGTCTACCTTTGGCTCTTGGTTCTCTTTCCGCCCCCAGCACATCATATACCGCCTTCGTGTGGCACAACAAAAAGGAATATGGTGGGAAATTCACGATGACAACCCAAATTGGTGCCAAAGCGCGACTTTCCAGAACTATGGACAGTTTTTTGGGTAGGATTTCCCCATGCACCCCAGGCGGGGAGGGGGGCACAGAAAGTCCCAGTTACATTCAGGGGCCCTTGCTGGTCCCTTTCTCAGTATCTCACTGAAATCGTCCTGGGCAAGGGGAGCTGTTGATAGCCATTTTCAGTGAAAAAGCTTTCAGAAAGAGGAAACCCTTTTCCAAAGAGGTCAGATCTGGAAGGATGGACCCTGGGCAAGTGGCCCCCTGCCTCCCTGCCCGAAAACAAGGAAACTCGCTGGAAGGATGGAAAATGCTGGGATCCGATACCTTCCCTATCATGCCTCCCTGCCTCTCGGAGTCCAGTCCCTCCCTCAAGAGGGACAATGGAAGGATGGAACAAGGACTGGTCTTGATGGAACCCTGTGGGCTCCGGTGGCCTGCCTCCACCTTTCCCTCCCTCCATGCCTCCCGTGAAAACCTCAGCTCGCGCCTCGATGAGCCGCTCACTCTCCGCCTCCTCGCCGGAGTTCCCGTACTTCCGACCGCTGGGGGCGCACCACCAGAGGAAGCTCTCCCTTCGGACCTCCTGGCGGCCGAGTTGTGGGATCCTCTCGTTTAAGACGGGCAAAATCCGTGCCCCCAAACGAGAAATGACTCGAAAGACATATGACATATGTGCTGTTTGATCAAACAACTACCTTTGTCTTGTTTGATATATGGCTGTGGGTCAAAAAGAAGGTACCCAAAATGGGTTGCCCAGGTAAATGGAAACATGGACTAAAACCTGCGGTCCCCTAGTGGTTTAATTTTGACCCACACCCATATGACACATGTGCTGTTTGATCACTACCTGTGTTTTGTTTGATCTAACTTTGAAGGGAAGTTGTGGAGAGTCTTCTAGGGACGAGCGCAGATCCCGGTTAAGCGATCATGAACTGGTGCCTTACTGCGAAACATGACACCTGAAGCACCAGATCACATGCGGTTGAGCTTTGGGCAGGTAGCGGGGCCACTTGGCACCGTTCAAGTGCTCACGCTTTTGCATCATTGATCGATATCGACATCTACTTGTCCAACATAGACTTACACGGAGGGAGCTTGGGAACTTCCATCGCAGACGTGTCTCAGGTGAGACTCACCCAAAAGCTGGAGGTTCAAAGGGGTTGTGCCGGACTTGGCAAGCGGGAGAATGTGCGCGCCTCAGATCTCAAGGTGCGATCGAGTCCGTTGGCGCCGTGTTGACTGCGGAGTGGCAACCCGGAAGATGATGACGTTTGTCTCTCTAACTCTTGCAGGGCCAGGGCCCCGTTCAAACTCCAGATTGGTATGTCGAAACTGCATTGGAGAGCTTTGACAAAAATAGAATTCAACAGCAACTCTTTGCGAGGCTTCTAGCTTTCGGACAAGCGTTCAATCTTCAACTCCACAATCAACTACAATACGGCAACTGGTACTTTAGACAACTCACATCCTGCGTGGATGGCCCAAAAAAGCCTAATCTGTTCTTTCCAAGCCAAATCCCCTGCTAAAAGTTGAGCTTTAGTGGTTTAGTGCAACCCTCTAAACTCCAACAAAACAAAAACCAAAGGAACCGCATGCCTGGGAACCACTGAGGTTTACAACCAAAATGGCTTGCCAAAATCTTCCATTTGCTTAAGCCCACTGGACAAAACATATTGTTCCAGTAGTGCTACAATCCCCTTAAAACCCACAGGGCAAAGACCATAAGCAAATGAAATCCATTGGGTTAGTCCGTGGGCCTCGCTGGCCCATGGCCACGCCAGCAAGCAGCCGTTCAACAGGTAGAAGGCGAAGAATAAAATGAAGGCGGCCAACCAGGCGGGGCAGTCCTCACGCAGATGGCTGTGGCTCAAAAAACCAGTACCAAAATGGAACCCTGGTAAGTGAAAACATGGAACAAACCCTGCGTAGCCTCTCCTGTTTAATTTTGAGCCAAACCCAGCAGATGTCTTCAGTGCTTCCCTCACGAAACGAAGGTGAATCCGTGGCTTTTCAGCTGGAGACCGGAGACCGGAATTTTGGTGGTGTTCCGGAAGGGGTTTCCCATTTCTGCGAAAGCCAGGGGTTCAAACCCAAATCCAAACCACTCATCCAAACCACCAATTCAAGGCACCAATGTTCCCACCAATAAACACCACCAATTCAAACCACCAACTCGGGGTGCCTGAAAAACCGGGTGCCCTTTTTCAGATTTACCTGAGGTGTTTGGCGGTCATTTGAGGGCATGGGCCACCCGCTCGGGGTATGGCCCACGTCCGCGTCTTACTTTCATACCCTAAATTTGCCGAAGCCGCCCGGCAGAAAAAAAAATGTATTTCTAGCCATGATCGATTCCCGAACCCCCTCCCACCAATCAACATGAAACCTGACAGGACCTCTGTCAGGTTTCATGAGTATTGGCGCAAATGCAACTTACAGGAAAGAAACAAGACATGCTCTCAAGTAAATACAAGATACAACTTCCAAAGCACTCGAAAAGCGGATCATGTTCTGGCCGATGGGAGTGGCATGGGGGGTGTCCATGAAGTGGGTACCTGTTCGGGGGGGGGGGGCCTTTATATATATATATGTATATATATATAATAAAATAATTCATAATTGCTTCTTTCAGACATTTGTCCAAACAGGACATACTTGATGCCCAATGAACTCGAAACCAACGTAAGTTTGCCATAGTTCGTTGGTTTAGGTTTGCCTGAGTGTGTTGCATGATGCCTTGTGTTGCAACTGGGCTCTGGCCTACAGTAGACACCCCCCCCTCCCCACCTTTCTTCTTGGATGTTTCACCCGCTTAGTAACTTGGTTCTACCCGCAGTAAGTAGGGCAGCTGGATGCAACTTGGGGTTGGTTCCCTGAAAAAAAACATGGCTGTAGCCCGCTTCAGTTGACACCTCCAGAGGCCTTCTCTCCCCTCTCTCTCGCCTTTCCCTTTGGGGCTTTGGGTTCTTTGGCCCCCAGCACAAGGGCACCGAAACGGCAACCTCTGAACCGGGACCGGGGGCCTGAGCAACGCCCAGAGTGGACCTGGAATGAAAGGTCGGCCCACGAAGGTAGGCCAAACAGGGCAAAAGGCCCAAGGTGTATGCGAAAAAAATAGAGAAGAAGATCCTCTCCCATCAAAGCAGCTGAGAATTTGATCACCTCGTGCCATTGTTTTCTGATTCGCCGGTACTTCCTGTGAAGAACGGCCTTTCCAAGGCATCGAGACAATGTTTCCCCCCCAAAAGCAAAACAGGAGCCTCAACGTAGTAAAGTGCGCCGAAAATGCCTGGTAGTTTCGTGACATTCCTCAGCTATAGTTTCCGTTCCACGGAGGTTTCGCGACTCGCAACTCCAACGTCCAGGATTCGCAACTGGCACATCGAAAACCGGGTCCTCGATAACAATACAAAGCACCCAAAGTCCGAGTAGGATGAATGACAGGATGCACCAGAACACCAGCCAGCATCGCCCTGGGCAGGGGAAAATTGGAAAAGGCTAAAGGCAATCGGTGAAATTCAACAAATCACAAGCCCAATGGGGTGAGAAATGGCGCGATCACCGCGGCCTGGCCTAGAATGGCTCCAAACTGCAAGCAGCTTGTTGACATCAAGTCTTGCTCCAAACACCGAACAATTGCACCCTGGCATAGGCTTCCTACAGCCCCATGAGACACGCAACAATCAAAAATATGTTGTTTAGGCCAAGGAATGTATAAAAGACTGCTGTAGGCTTTGGTTTTTGTTTGATGTGGAAGCAGTCCACAGGTTGAAAATTCCATATCCGAATGGGGAACAGGTGGGTGTGTCTTTTTTACGGCCCCCCCCCCATAACAAATCTCTAGGGGTTGATTCCCCATTCTTTTCAAAAATCGTTCTTTTCAAAAACCAACTGTTTCCCTGCGTTTTTGATGGTTTCCTGAAAAGAAGGATCCCTGGAAAGAATGGGGAAGGTAGCCCTAGAAAATGGTGGGTTTTCCTGTTGGCTGCCCTTTAAAAGCAACAAAGGTAGCCTCAAGAGAGGCACACGCATGTTGCATCGGCTCACCTGAATTCGGGAGCCCCAGATCGAACAAAGGTTGGCCCAAGGAATCTGCGCCTGAGGTTTTCTCTGATCGGACTTCAAAACTGGTTGACCTTCGGTTGGCTGCCTGAGAGTCATCCCAAAGGGGTCAACGATTTCAACCCACACATAGCAGCCACATCTTTTTTTTGCAGAACCCGCTTCTTTCTGACCCCCTTCACGCTTGCAAGCGTCTTTGCCACGCAAGCCCTTCGTTGAAACACTGCCGTCGCTACCCCAACTCCCCACGCCAGCCCATCCGAACGCCTGGACACCAAGAAATCGAAACGGCACACGGGCTTGAAGCCCGTGCGCAAAAACAAGCATTGGTTCCAGCTGTGAGTCCACACGCCACACTCGCACACAAATCCTGAAAAACATCAACCACCCCAATGACGCCAAAACAGCCATGAGGTCACTTAACAAACCACCAACTAGAGGGAAGCTGACGGTTGGTTTATGTTGGTTTCACCTTAACACCGCAGTCACCCCAGTGATACTGTGGATGGACGAAATCTTGCACCACTTTGAAACCACGGGAAACCAATTCTTGCTGGTATTCACAGGGGGGAATCACGAGAAATCAGGGTTTCTTGGGTGCGAATTGGACTTCGCAACCATCCACAGTAGGGGTGTGCTCCTTCCAAGAAAAGGGGACACCCTTCTAATTCATCAACCGCAAGTTTACTCATCAACCCTAATGGTCTTGATTGATTTTGGGCCCTCAAAATGGGTTGTTTTTAAGGGTCCTTGAAAGTTCGGGGTTCTGCATTGGAGGGCCCAGGGGTGTGCATTGGAGGGGTCATGACCCTTAGGGAACATTTAGGGAACCACAATTTTCAAAACACACGGCGCACAAAGCTCAGATGCCCAGTGGATGCCCATGGGAAAAAAGGAATCGGCCCCCCTTTTTTGGTTGGTTGAGTTTAAAGGAATCGGAACCCTTACCCAAAAAAAAGTCGAAAAAAAGAAGCAACCCACTGGGCAACAAATAAAAGCAAAAGAGAACAAAACCACCTCATCATTGCGTTGGGTTCTTAGGTGGTGCCTAAGAGGATTTCGTCCATCCATCCGCAGGTTTAAAGCAAACGGCGCACAAAGGCAAAAGAACCAAAACCCACCACCGCCCCATGCGCCCTAAACTTCGAACATTTCGCCTCGGGCTAGGCAGGGCAGCTGAGGCTGCACCATGCAGCTCAAGCAAATGCTGGACCGCTCCTGAAACGCCCGTGCTTGCACTGGGCCCTGAAACGTCCCACGCAGAAACAAGGGGAAAGCATCGAATTGCAAGGGGCAAATAGTGACATGAACGATAGGGAAATTTAGCTGGGGGCTCAAACCACCCATACTTTTTGGCCAATCAGAAATTCTAGTTCTTTCGGGTCAGTTTGCCTGCGTTGGTCAAGGCGACCCGTTCACGGATCTAAAAGGGCATGTCTGGTTTTGCTAACTCGGATTCATTGGGCACAAGACCCAACAATAGAAGCTCTACCGTTTCCCAATGTCTTGAAAATGACGAAAGGCTGGCTTGCGGCAAGAAAGTTTGCTTCTTTCTGAGGGGCCAAGTTGCCAAGTTGCATCCGGCGATCCGCTGAATCTTCAGGCTTCGAAAGGCCACTTATGTCTGATGTTGGTGACATATGGATAGGGAGACCTTCCAAATGTCTCCTTGGGGGTTACCATTCAAGCTTTCAATCAACTCGACGTGTCATTGGTGTGTCTTGTCTTGTTTGCGATTCACAACTTTGGTGGTGACCCCGCGGCCAGTAAGAAGGGATGCAACTGGTCTCACTTCTTAAAACTGGACCAAAAACAAAGTCCGGGGACTTGTTGTTTTTGCCTCTCTGGTCCAAACCCAAGTGGCTAAAGTTCATGAACTCCAAAAAGGTGAGAGAATTGAACTGCTGGGTTCACTCACTTCCTGGCTGGATGTACCCAAAAAAGAGCAACCAAACAGTTTGTTGACTACTAAAATGGTCCAGAACCCCAAAAAGTGACTAAAGGTCCGAAGTGGAACTCGGGGAGTGGGCCAAACAAGAAGCATGGCTCCCCTTTTCATCAGGCCGCTCTTGGCGTTTTCGGGTTTAGGAGCCGGAGTGCAGAAGTCCACTTTTGGACTAAACCAACCTAGACTTCAACCCAGAGTTGATTTCCTTTTGGGGGTAAATCAACCGCCCCTGGGTTTTAGTCCACCTTGGGGAAGTTTTTCCTTGGGGTAAATGAACCACCCCTACAGTATTTAAGTCTACCCTGGACAAGTTCAGAAGTGGACCTCTGCTGGAGCGAGTTTACCGAAAAATCCCGCCGGAACTTTCGAACCGGAGCCTCCATTTGGCTAAAACGGGACAAACAAAATCATATGTCCAGTAGTGATAAGTTCCCTTTAAAACCAAAAGGGGGAAATCCAACATACTGTGGATGGACGAAATCCTGCACCACTTGGAAACCATGGCTGAAACCATTCTTTGTTGGTATTTACCAGGATACTCCCTCATGCCTGGGTTTTTCTTGGGTGGTGCGAAACGGAGTTCGCAACCATCCACGGTATCCATTTGCGATGGAATGGAGCCCCTGACTCGGTCCAATTTCCGCGGATCCGCGGATCGCGGATCGCGGATCGCCGCCTGCAGGAAGAGATCCGTGGCGTGGGCATGGGCCTCCGAGTAGGCGCGGCCGTGCACCGCGATGAAGAGGTTCAGCAAGCTGATGCAGAAGATGATGACCTCTGGCGACTTCTTTTGCTGCTTGGCTTAAAAAAGACAGGAAAGTTTAGGGGCACGCTGCGCAGATGACCTCTGATGGCCTGCGCTGGAAGCTCAGCTTCCAGCTGGTTGGCGGTTTGGATTGATGGCTTGGTGGACCATCGGGTAGTTTCCCACTTGCAGTGGACCTCCGAGAGCTCAGTTTTAAAGGGCCGAGAAGCAGCAAGAAACCACTTCAGCCACCTGGGGGTTCAAAACCGAAAAATGATTTGGCCTTTGCAGAAGGGTAAGCCCCACTAAACACTAAAAGTCTAAACAGCTAAGCTTTGCAGAAGGGTCTGCAAACCCAGTTTGGTTGGGTAGTTTCCCCTTTGCAGAAAAAAAATGACCTCGAGCGCACTGGAGGGAGCACACCCCAATTAATAGAACCCGATGACTAATCCGGGGTCAACGTTTAACTTTTAGTGGGTCAAATGGAAAGCCCCACTAAACACTAAAAGTCTAAAAAGCTAAGGAACCGGACGGCTGGGAGCCACCAAGACAAAGCGTGTTGCTTCAAGTGGCTGCGATCAGCAGCGAGGCCGCGGTGATGTAGTCCCCCGTGCCTGCAGCATCGCCGCGGCCACCCAGCTTCAAGGTGCCCACAATTCCATCACCATCCACCATGAACAGCAGCTTCCTCGGTGTTGGTTCTGTTTGTAGGGGTTGAAGTCAATTTGAATCCGTTGACTTAGTGAGTTTAAACTACCATCCTCGGTTCAAACTCTTCTCCTTTCGTTGAAACACATATTGTCTTGCAGGGGGGGAAGGGGGGAGGACTGGGGGGGAGGGTCCTGCAAAAGGAAACATACACATAGCTTCCACGAAAAGGGTGGCTTTACGGTTTGGATTGATTCGGGGAATTGAACCCCTTCTTGAGGATGAATGGGAAACCACAGACCCCCCTAGACCCCTCTAAAGCTCTAAAGCGGGGCGAACTGGGGAGGGGGGCCTTAACTCCCTTGTTCACCCCTTAACAAGGCCCGGCCTTCAGAGCTTATCCTTGACGTACTCCCTAGGGGTCTATTAGTACGTGAGCTTCCCACGAAAAGTGTGGTTTGGATTGGTGCACTTTCTAGGTGGAACAGCTACTTCCTGTTGGCAAACCCCTTTCGCAACAAAAAGGGTTCTCGATAATTATCAGCTTCCCTCTAGTTGGAGGGGGTTCCACCTAGAGAAATTGACTCAGGTTAAACCTCTAGTTGGTGTTGATTTGTGGAGACTAGGGGGTATCCCTCGAATTGGTGGCTTGGATTGGTGGTTCAATATGTCAGCTATCACCGTTGTTGCTTGTTTGGTTGTGGCCTGGGGAAATCCACATATTGGTTTGCGGAGGGAGGGGGGAAACATGGTTTGAATAGGGTGGTTTCACATTTGCCCTCTGCAAGATGCAGGGGTTCACAACCCCCAGGCGTTTCTTTAGTTTCCCTGTACAACCCCAAAACGGGCACCTTCAAACAAAATAGCATCGACATGTGCCAAAACAGGAATTTAACCCCACCAAATTAGGTGGACTTCCCCGGAAAACCACGCAGAATTCTCTGGGCATTCATGTCCACCACTTTCGACGTGGCCTCTGAAAATTCATAGCCATATGGCGCACCTACCCCAAAGTAGTACCACTGGGCAACCCTTATTTCTGATAGTCGAGTTTAAAGGAAACCTTGGCATTACCTAATAGGGTATATATATACTCTGCATGCGTGTCATTGTTTCCAAAGCAATTGGATCGCGTGCTATCCGAACAACAAACACCTCAGTTTCGACACTGGGCGACTTTCAAGGGAATCTGCCGCCTTTAAAACAAAGAAAAAGAACAGCGCCGCAACGCATAGCACCGGATTGGCCTTGTGCTGCGCGGGTGTCTCGGGTTTGTTTCGACGTAGCCATAAAACTGGACATATTCGACCCAGTACCGCCGGAGAGGGAGGCCGGCTACCCTGAACCGCACCTGGCTCTCTTGGAGTCTACTTGCTGATAGGTCGGGAATGACAACCAGTCCGTGTGCTGGGAATGAACCGTTTGGGGACTCCCGAATTCAGGAAATCGCCAGTTGGATGCTTTATAGGGGTCATTCCAATTCTCATTCCCTGCCTATCGCATGGAGATACGACCTGAAAATGCTGCAAAGCTGAACCCCAAGCCGCAGGCTACCACATTTGCAGCCACCTTTGGAGAACCTGCGGGCAACTTAGAAAGGAATTGCAGCCACCTTTGGCGCACCACCCGACAGCCACCAGCCACACCAAATGGTTGGAAACGGCACGGACGAGTTGGGCTTGACAAGCGACTTTGGGGAACTTGCCGAACAGAAATGGGAAAACGCGGCTGCTACCCGCTTCTTCTCACGCCTATTTCGAAAAAGCCAAAAGACTTCGGCCTGTCACCAGCTATGGGTGTGTCTTGTGTGTACGGGAACCCTCAAAATGGCGGTTGTCCTGTCGGCTTCCCTTCAAAACCACAAAAGAAGGTCCCAACTCTTCAGCAAACATCAGCGAGCCACCCACATTTGGAGGAACATTGGAGGAACATGACAGAGATTCAAAAGGTGAGTTGGCTGTGCCCTATTTTTTTGGGTGGGGGGCACCTTTTTGGGGGGAGAAAAAGCAAAACAACTTTCGGGGTCCGTCTCCGCGGGCGGCCAATGGCCAAGTGACATGGTGTTGATCAGCACCTCCCAAGGACCGCCAGCGACCTCGATGGATCGATGGCAGTTGCAACTGGTGGGAAAGGGTTCGGAACGACTCTCATACCTCTAGGGGTTGATTTCAGCCATTCTTTCAAAGGACCCAGAAACAAAAGATTAACCTTTTGGGGCCTTTGCTAAAAATAGACCAAAATTGGAAAACCAAAAGGTTAAAAGGTCGGCTTTGGGCAACTGAGACCATCGTTCTTTTCAAACACCAGCTGTTTCCCTCGGCTTTTGATGGCTTCCTGAAAAGAAGGATCCCTGGAAAGAATGGGGAAGGTAGCCCTAGAATACCCGCTGGCCATCTGTCGTGGGGAAGTCCAACAAAAAACAAAAAAAAAAACAAGAAAAGCATAACGGCGCGCCAGTTAACACGTGGGTTTTAGACTTCGATCAGAAATGGGGTTGAAACAATGGGGGCCACTAGCCGCACCACATCACCCACAGGAAGAGCAAACCCAGCATTCTGCAATGAAGACCTTCCTGGCCTTTTGGGCTCCTTTGGGGTTCCTAGAGCGAATATGGCAATGAGCTATTCAGCACCCTCATGTTTCTGTCCCAGCCCAGGCCCCCAGAACTCCGGACTCCGCCCACCGACGCTTCTTCTTGCGCACCAAGGGTCGCCATTGTCCAGGACCAGGAAGGCGTGAAAAAACCCTGCGAAGACGAAGGAGCAGATGATCATCATCCCCCCGATCTTCTTGACCTGAACAAATCCGGCCTCCTGAACCCCAGATTGGCCCCCAGCTTGAAAGCTCAGGTATTGAATTTCGGACCTTGGTTATTTTTGCTTGCTCTTGACCCCTCCGCAAAAAGTCGAACCTGTTGTGGGTTTGGTTCGAAAAACTGCTGGATCTCCTAAAAAGTTAAGGTCTAAAGATCCAACCCAATAGCAGTCAATGGATGAACCCCCTGGTTGATTGAGCCCTGGGTTCAGACTGGGTTCAGACTTTGGGAAAAACAACGCACTCCCCGGGCCTGGGGGTCTTAGTTCCGTTCTGAAAAAGTCGAGCCGAATGATTCGGCGTGCAGTGAAACAAAAAGAAGCAGGCTTCAGAATCCGTTTCTGGAGGACTTGCCACTCCCAAGTTGGAAGCTAGAGAACCCCTCGTGAAGAACTTTCACCATAGCCGAAAACAATGGATCCCCACGTAGAGGGCCAACATCATGGTGAGCTCGCTTTACCCCCGAACGGTGAGCCCGTTCTTTGTCCAGACCCCCTGCATGGCAAATCATGTGCGTCCACAAGTCAAGGCAACGAAGTCAGCGAAGCACATGTTCTTCAGTAAAGCAATTGGCCTCCCGTCAAGACATACCCAAAGAGGTAGGCTATAAAAGACACACACAAACACAAACACACACAAACGCAACGACGTAGCATACGCTAACCAAACTGCCCGCAACAGGAAGGAAAGGACAACCACGCCTCCGCCCCCCTCGTCCCTCCCCCAAACAAACAAATGGTCCACAGGGCTTCCAGCACAATCGCACAGAACTTGGAATGCTTGCTGGTTTCAAGGGGTGGCTAGGCGTCATTATCTCATTCCCTGATGAGCACCAGCAACAATGTTCACCCGTATCCCAAGCAAATACCAAACCGCGTTGGGCAACAAGTCCAATAGAATCCCTGCCCGACGGTGACCATCATATTTTGCTGCAGGGAATCGCTTCCCACGTTGTTGTTGTTTACAATTGTCCCGCAAAATCAAGAGCCTCCCTCATGCAGGTTTGGGTTTCTACAGGTTCAATGAAAGGAAGCCCTGGCGGACCCGCGGATCGATCGGAAAAAAAAAGGCTTCGCGAGGCGCCGAATGAAGGATGGGGATGATGCCCTTAACGCCGATGCCGCCCAACTTGAAGGCGCGCAAGGTGAAGAGCATCTGGAACCACCGCAGAAACACCTCGCCGGCCAGTTCCCATGATCTCTGTCCCCTCAGGTTTTTTGGGGGCTCCCTTCAAGTACCAAAATTTCGTGTTCACTCAAGTTTTCTGGGGTGGTTCCCTTTAACATCAAGTAGGGGTGGCTTGTGTTTCACTCAAGTGTCCTGAAAGTGTCCTTCAACATCAAGTAGGGGTGGATTGTGTTCACTCAAGTTTTCTGGGGGTTCCCTTGTACCAAGGGGTGGGTGGTGGTCAGCTTTGGAATCTGGATGGCCCCCAATCCTTCCCCACAGAAAGTAGCACTGCTCTTTAGTTGTCTATGAGAAATCACACACACAGCCAGAAAGTGAATGGTCAAAGATCCAACCCAATCTCGAAGACTCGAATTTTGAGGGACCCCAGCGTGGATGTGGGGTACCAACCACACGCCGAACCGTGTTTCGCGTTTGCGGAAACGCGGCAGCTGAAAAGTCCTGGTCAAAGGCAAGAAACCCCGCCAAGTTTCGGAGAAGCGACTCTCACTCTGCAGTAAGCCGTAGGAGGATTGGAGTATGATGAGAAGACTTGCGAAGCAGGGTTCTTTGAATATCACCCCACCAAAAAGGGGAACCTTCAAAGAATACTGAAACGCAAATGGAGGGAAAAAATACATGTTTGGAACCACGCCTAGCTACCCCACCTCACTCTTTTGCAGAACCTTCGAGGGCCTTCGCCTGGCTAAGCAGGGTTGGACTGGGGTCAACACACTGCTCCTGGACAAACAATGGATCTTGCATGAGGGTAGAAGGGTTTAACCACTCAGGGACATCCCCAAATCAACCAGGAGTTTATCAATACTCATCACGGAATTCCATACCGGTCGTTCTCTTTTTAGGGGGACCTACTGACTTAAACACCGAGGGACACCCCCTGCCCTCAAGGCAGTGGCCAAATGGAAACCCTACCAAGCCCCTAGAAACCTAAAAACCTAACCGGACTGCTGCGCCAAGCTCTCGAAATCAATCAAATTAACCCTGCCTTTGCTTTTTCGCCCCCTGGAAATAATGAAATATGTCCAGCGATAGGTTCCCTTTGAAAACCCAACGGGTATAAGGTTGACCCAGGATTGAGACCCGTCCCATTTTTAGGGGGGTGTTCTCTCCAAAAGAGATGAATCTCCACTAAAAGGGGACACCCCCCTTTTAATCAACCAGGGGTTTATTTATCCGGGGTGAACATTTTGCTAACATATTCCCAAGCAAATGGACATAAGCGGTCCAGGCGCTAGGACCGCGAAGAACTCCTGCCAGTCGTCCAGGTGGAAGCTTTGCATAGAGGCCCGCGCCACCAAGACGTTGAAGCTCACGATCACAGCCATGTCCTGAGGCTCAAAATGCTCATCTATGACTCACTTGCCCAAAGGACCAGGAAATAAAAGGTTAACCTTTTGGGGCCATGACTAAATCTAGACCAAAAAGGAGAAACCAAAAGGTCAAAAGGTTGGCTTTGGGCAAAAGAGATGAGCCTGAAATAGACCTGCCGCGCGGGCTTTCTGCCGGGTGATTTGGAGAGTTGCATCTTTGCAGTGTATCGTACAATTTGGTGGCTACAGATGTCTTTACAGGAGCCTTGGTTTAGGAACCAATCAGCTCACATAACGAAATTGTGAGAATGTTTGAGGGGCTCCAGCAAACATGTGGTTGCGTTCTTTAGATCAGATCAGCTCACATGACATCCCGGACAGCGAACAACCGTTCAAGGGAACTTTTACAGAACCTTCCCTGCACGCCCCAAACCACCACGGAGCTTCTCTGGTAGACCCCAAGCTGTGAGCTTACAGCTGAACACTCCAAACAAGTGAAGCAGGGCCCCAAGGAAGAAAAAACCTCCGGCGTGGCCTGAAACGCAGGAAGATTCAGACAAACGGCAAGAAAAAGGCCTATGGGTGGCTTGTTGTTTTTGAAGGGTTCCCGCCATCAGAAAGGGCTGGCTTTCATTTTGCTCTCTCTTTAAAGCCACAAACATGGGGTATGGGTTTGTTCCCTTTTTGAGGGTACCCCCTTTGTTTGGTGCCTTTGAGGGAAGTACAGCCAACAAAAAGTGAGGGTCCTCTAAAAAGCAACAAACGAGTCAGCCCTTTGCCCAACCAAAAGCCACATGCTTGCTTCCTTCACATGTTTACCGAAGCTTAAACATGAAAAGCGAATCCTTGTCACCATTGTTGGTTTTGGCTTACGACAAATGGGAGCAACCAAACGCAGACTGTATCTGCATTTTGTTCTAATAGAAACTGCAAAACATGAAACGAGGGATGACAAAGCCAAGATTGTTTGCCGCAGTGAGCTCGTTTTACCCTCAGGTGAGCTCGCCATAAATCATGCAAATGTATGGATATTTGTATGTATATACATATATATATATATCTATTTGCAAATGCATGTGCACTCATGCACACATGCAGCCTTTAGAAAATCAAAGCGGTGAGTGATGGTTCTGTGTTGGCCCACAAGCTAAGTTCAGCTGGACCAAACACCCAGCTCCCCCAATTCGACTAGGGTGGGAATTGTCTACTGCTCGTTGCCTCTTTCGAGCCCAGCGAGGAAGGACTTTCACAGCCTGACAAGTGTGTGTTTCGCCGACTCGATTCGGCAAGCCGTCTCCAAATCACAAGAAACAACTTGACGCCTGGACTGGTCAAAACGGAGTGTCCAATCTCCGTCCCAATGGGGAAACCACAGGAACCTGTCTTGGGAACCCAAGGATCAGTCAAAACCCTTTCGAGTTCTGTCGGACTCAAGCCAGTTAGCAAGGACTATAATATATTTGGTTGTTGCGATACACATGAAATTACATCAGGACGATTCATTTCACACCTCAGTTGAACATCCTCCAATCATAACATGGAACCTGACGTTCGAACCCGGTCCCGCTCAAAGCAAAATGGTCCCAACCAGGACCCCGGAGCAGGTTCCATGTTAATTCGGTGGGAGGGTACCTTGATCTGTCCGCAATCCAGACATCTGGACCGGCCAGGCGTCCACGTAGTTCCCTACCTTCCCGAAGTAGGAGCCGGGGCCACGCAAGGTGAAGATCGCTGCATACGCCTTGCGGCGGGGCACGGAAAGAGCCAAACCAGATTTGGGTCTACCGTGGCACACGGAAAGTTTGGATGGGTATGACTCTCTTCCATATGTTGTCTACCCTAAAAACATGGAAAAATGGAGGAGATCCCAGTCTTCTGGACAATCCTCCAAAGAAGCTGTTTCACGCTGCTCATCTGGGTGTTCGATATCCTGTAGGGTATGACTCCGCATCTTTCCGCCTACAGCACCCCCAAAAAAAAGCACCCATGTACCTACTAGCGTCGGAAAAAAATAGGCAGAGAGAGAGAGACAGTCCCTTTAGTTTTCCTTGGATTTCTTCAAGTTGTAGCTACTACTTTCCGCCCACTCCCATCTGGCATACGGCTGCAAGATGGATCCTGGAAATCAGGCAACACCCCAATCAAGGACCCTTCCTCATGTGTAAGCCTGTTTTATCCCCGATCAGTGACCTCGTCACGACTTGCCCAGATAGACTTTGAACAGCCGCGGAAGGTTTGCGGATTGTGTTCAAATCGCAACTAAGTTGGACGAATCACATTTTTTGGCAAACCACGAGTTTGACACACCCCAAAGTTTGTCCTAAATCGATCTGGAAGCACAAAACAACAGGGTTGTTGCCCCTCAGTCCAAAGCCACGTCAGGCAAATTGCCAAAGGGGCGACAGGCCTGGCATCTCTCTGAACATCATTTCCAAACGACTCACTTGAAATTGGCCACGAAGGTGATATTTAAACCCCTTTAAGGGGAGATACCCAAGGCAACTCAAGATTGGGGCAAAAGGTGATGTTTAAAACCACCCTTCAAAGACTTGCCCCACAGCCAAGACCAAACACAAACCCCGAAGAAATGTGACAGTTAAGCCTTGTTTAGTGCTTACTTACCCCTGAACTCTGCTGGCTTATCGAATCCAGGGGTATGTTGCAGGGGTCTGGTGGTACAACCAGTCTTGCTTGCCGTTGACCGCTCTGCAAAAAGTGAACTACGTTTTGTAGGGTCCAAAGGTGGATCCGACCAACCTAAAAGTTGCTCAGTCCAAACACCCGTTACCAAACCGCCACAAAGCAAGGGCACTGGTAAATGATCACCTGGAGTCTCCGTGACCCTTAAAAAATGGGGTCATTACCCAAAATAATGGGGTCACGGACCCATTGTTGAAGGGTCATGGGGAGTCTAGGCAGAATCAAAGCCCACAAAGAACACCTGGGGCCATCTTTGGGGAAATCGGGTCGGCGAGTCGGAGCACTGACCAAATGAGTCGGCCGCTTTTATCGCTTCTCAGCAAGGCATGAGAAATGGGAGAACACCAAACCCCGATTTGGTGTCCTTTGAGGAAATCCCTAGGTCAATTCTCGAACGCTGGAAAGGGAAATAAAAAGGATGACCCGTATTAAACAAAAAAAACAAACAAACAAAAAACGTGTCCTTCTAAGGGAGTTCCTAAACAAAAACAGCTCATTTTCCCAACACAACCCGGCCTCGGGTCATTTTCCCTATGGCACCAGGTCTCGTGTTTTGTTTGTGCCCGGCCGGTTCGGTTTTCGACACCTGAACGAGCTCGAAGAAGGTGTCACGGGCCGCGCTCTCCAGCAGGATGGTCCACGACAAGCGCCGCTGCCAGTAGGGCACTTCCGCGCTGTTGCCCTTCGTGTAGGTCCTATGGCAGGCTCGGAGGGCTTGGTTTTTCTGTTTTTGCTCGGAGGGCGTTTCCTTTTTTTGAGGGTGCCAAGCAAATTTTGGGTGGCAATAATGTCTGGGTGTGAGTTTTTCGTTGAGGCTACCGCTGGTTTCCTGGTTGCATATGGGCGTGTCCTTTTGGTTGGTTTCGAAGGAACCCCACAACAAAAGCCACCTTCTTGGCAGACGCCCATCTGGCTCCGTGTGTGAGGCGAGGGCGATCTGCCTGTTCTCGCCCGAAAAAACACGCAAAGGTATTGGTCGAATTTGGTCAATAAGGCCAGCCCATTCAAGACACCCAAGAGTGGATCTGTGTTCCTGGCTGCGTGCAGCCCGAATCGGTGCGAACTGATTTGCCCAAGCCGCTATGTCCTTGTGCGGGAAAGAGCGAAGTTGCCCGCAGGCAATTTACGCTGCACAATAAGTCCAAAACCCTGCCAACCCCAGCCAAAACCTGCCAAGCCTGAACCCATGCAAAACGGGTGTGAATTTGCTGCAGCCTCGCTTCGCATTTCAGGGAGAACACTCCACGTTCCATCTCTTTGCGAGAGGGGCATACAGTTTTCCTTCGAGCCATTAAGGTGGCCTGGTAATCGAAGGGGCTCGCTCATATCTTCGAATGGGGAATGATTATGGGTTGTTTTCTGGCTTTACAAGACACCGAAGTCACCCTTCTATCTTTCCCGCTTCTGCCCGAGAGTGGGCCTCCCTGAAACCATAGTAAAGAACCAAAGGGGCGGAAATCCGCGTTGCGGATAAAAATGGCAAGGGGATTGTCCCTTGCCCCTCTACCCAAGTCTTGATTGTACAGATGGGTGTGTATTTCAACTGGGGAGTGTTTGGTGGACATCAAAAGCTGGGGATTCATGTTCCGACTGCAAAATATATCGGAGGCTCCACCCAGACAGCACTAGCAGCTCGATGACGCGGTGCACTACCTGCAGCATGTACCTCGGGTGCCAAATAGGGTCCCCCCTCTTTCCCTTTGGGTAAATGAAACACTGCTGGATAATTAGCCTTCATCTTTGTTTGGTTTCCACTTGGGTTGATGAACCATGGGATCCTGGCTAGCACCCAACATACACCAGGGGATCGGACAACGGGCGAGCATGATGAAGGCCAAGGGAAAAGAATTGAAGTTGAGGAATGCAACAAGCAGAACATGCTTGTGGGGCCAAACAAAAGGGCAGTGGTGCCAATGGCTGAAAAGCGGAAAGCAACCTATCCGTCCCCCTTATGTTTGCACATAAGAAGCGCTGGGGCATCAAACAAATATGGTTGTTTACACCAAGCTTCTAACCAACCTGCACCTTCGAAATGGCAGGACTTCCCCTTGGTTTCCCTTCAGCTGAAAAGACAAACACCCGGCTCAAGAGCCCTCAACACTTGCCTAAGGAATTCTGAGAACGTCACGATGCTCGACGGGTCAGCCAACATCGCAATGCCAGCCAGAAATCCAGGATGATATTCAAATGAAGTCGGACCATGAGGGCTGGTCCTTGTCAGGGATTCATCTATAGTCAGTGCAACCAGATGCTGAATCAGAGTTCTCAACAACAAGCGACAACTACCCTTCCCTTTTGGGAATCCTGCAGAAAAACCAAACAAAAACGTATATACGCCATTTGGCGCTGCATGGGTCTGTCTCATTTTGAGGGCACCCTTTGCAAAAAAGGAACACCGCCATTTTGAGGGGGTCCAACCCGAACAAAGGGAACCACCCTTACCACCTGCGCGTCTTCGCGCTCGGCTCGCGACTTCCCTTTACTGAATCCATGGTGCCAGCGCATGACAAAGGCCTCCCAGCAGTACTGCAGCAAGGCGACGATGGCCGGGTTGCGGAAGATGTCGACATACCTTCAGCTTCAAGCTGGCGTACAAGAATGCCGCCTCACCTGGAGCCTTCCTGACCCTTAAGAACTGGGGTGATTATCCAACATAAAGGGGTCATGGCCCCATTTCTTAAAAGGGTCATGGAGACTCCAGGTACAAGCTAAAGCAGTGTCTTTGCAGCATGCATACCTCCAAATTTAGAACTGAAGATGCCGACTGGACCGCTGAACGGACCTGTATGGCAAGTTTGGGGCCGCCCGGAACAGGAGTTGGACCGAAGGGGACCCCGGCCTCAAAAAAGAAAACCCTTCGTCACTAGCTTTCAGGATTTGAAGGGATGGACGCTAATCGCTGGCTAACGCCCACCCCTTCAAGTGGAACATTTCCTCACCTCAACTCCATGGGGCTGTCGGCCGGATGGGCCAATCCGGACTCCCAGGTTTAGACCCACGGAGTCGGAAGCTCTTGGATCACTGAAACAAAGAAGGACGCTCACAAGGTGCCTGACTTGGTGTGCCTTTGTGTAGGGGGACCCTCTACAATCGTGGTTTTCCTTTTGGTAGCAACATGAACAAAGAGTGGCCTTAAAGAAAGACATAGCCAATGGCTGTTGCCTTCTGAGGGCTGCACGCCTTCCAGAGGAAAGTCCCAGGTTCATTACATCAATCAACCCGGCGGGTGCTTGGTTGCTGCTGTTGACCCCCCCTGCAAAAAACTGTTGTTTTTCACTTTTTGGGAAATGAGTGGAAAAAACATTTATGCCAACCAAAAAGTTAAAGTCCAAAGATCCGTTGCCCAATAGCAGTCAAGGGTTTGTCTTTTTTAAGGCTGGGCCGCAGGCTGGGCCCCCAAGAAAAATGTTGTTTTGTTTGGCTCCTGCAACTTCCCTCTTAAAACCAACCCAGCAAGAGGTTTGGTCCGGGACCCAAACAACGAGCGAGTCCCAGCCCGTTTCAAGGAGTGCGCGTACTTCACAAGATGCCGAGGAAAACTGACTAGCTGACCAACCTAGGTCCTCCAGTAGAGAGGTTAGAATAAGGGTACCAACTTTTTTGTGTAGTCTGTTTTAGTAGGGCAACCCTCCCCAAAAATGAAACGGTAAAAGGGCACTACCGGGGGACCTATAGCCAACCAATCCGATCGGATCTGCGAGTCCAAAGGGCTTGGTCTCACTTAGGGCCAGCAAGACCTCTGAGCACACCACGCCCCGAAAGCGCAGCTGCCGCCTCGCTCGGCCCGCATTCCGCATTCGGCTCGGCGCCCGGAGGCGCGAAAACACTCACCCACGGTTTTGGGAGTTTTTTTCTGCCCAAAAATGGGTGGCTCGTGTTTTTGAAGGTTGGCCACCGGGGGTTCTCTCCCTTTGGTTTCCCTTAAACACCTAGCAAGAAGGGATAGCATCAACAAAAAGACACCCAAATGGTGAACCCTTGTTCGCTGTAATTTGAAGGGAGGCCAACAGAAAATCAACCATGAATAGGGAGCCACTATTTTGAGAACAAAGGACCAAGGTTGTAACCCATGGGCATAACTGGGAGGTCCTTTGACACACACCCAGAACAGAGTAGGTCCGCCAATTTATGGATTTCCAGCGATTCCACTGATTCGATGCGTAAACCGAGTTTGGAGCTCATGCAAATTGCTGATAGATCGACAACTCCCCAGAGGTTTAAATTTCTGTGTCGGCTCAGCGCTTCCCGCAGCTGAACAACAGAAATCCACGTTAAAAAGAAACCTGGACATTCCCAAGGTCAGAACTGATCTTTGGGACTCACTTCCGGAGTGGATTGGCTTAAGAAGTCCCCAAACTGTCGGATTTCGACCACAAAAACGGACCCAAACGCTTGGGGAGTGAGCACCGGATTTTTTTCCCCAACTGAAACGTGGATGAATTGACGGGTGGTTTCCCGACGATCGCAACTTCAGGTCCGCAAAAGGGAAATGGCCACCGGAAACCCTGAATGTCCCAAAAACAAGCTTCCCCCAGGCGGGCTGAGGCTGGGCTGGGTTTGAGACTGGCCTGGAGACTGGTGAAGTGACTTTTTTGGAGTTCTGGGGCTTGAGACTGGGCTGGAGCCTTGTGAGCTGGGGTGGGCTGGAGTGAACCTGGCGGAGTGGAGTGAGTGGAGTGAGTGGAGTGAGTGGAGTGAGTGGAGTGAGTGGAGTGACCTTTGTTGAGGCAGTTTCCTATCACAATTCATGGCCACAAATGGCTGTGTTTCATGTTAGGGCGCATGTGCACCGGCACCAGCTGGCGGTTCCGCTCGATGGCCCGGTAGGCGCGATCCGCGGAACTGAAGTAGCCGTTGCCCAAGCGCCTCAGCGCGCGCTCTGGCGCGCTGAACCCACTCAGCGGAGCCATTTACCTGAAGCTAGGGAACCACACTTTAAACACCACGATGAACATACCGGGTAAAGGCAAAGAACCCGATTGTTTCATATTAATTAAGCGGAAAACTAAGGAAGCTAGAGAACCAGCTTGCCACCTGGTATAAAACAAACCAAAAGCGACAATGTTCGCAACTGGGATCCACTGGCCCGCGTGAGGCTGCCCTCGAGCCGCTGGATTTGCCATGGGTTCCCCGACGAAAAACCGCCAGTTCACGTGAGGGAAACTACTGATGGCTGCGACATCCAGAAGTCGCAACGTTCAAAAAGCTTGGTCTCGGATTCTATTTCCAAATGCCAACAAGCGACGGTTTGAACCATGGTTTCAAAGTGGTGCAGGAGTTCGTCCATCCACAGTAATAAACTCCTTTTGCGACATGGACCGCCTCAAAAGGGTTCCATAAAGACAACGTTCCTTTGGGGGTTCCCCTGTGCGCCTCCATGGTTGCTGGAAAGGACTTGCTCACTGAAACTGCCTGGGTCTACTTCTTTTGGGCTGGAAAGCCATTGTTGGTTGGTCAAAAAAGCAACACCCGGAGGAACATCTCGTGGTTTTTCTTGGGGGCCCAAGCCTCCGATTCCCAAACAACAACGAGCCAACAGGCCATGCCTTTTGCACCCAAAGGCGGAGAAACTTTTGCTCTTGGACTTGAAGCCATGTCGTAAGAATCTCTGCCTGGCGCCATGTGGCCATGGGTCAAATTATCCAACTCGGTTAGCCCCCAGTGAACATCCCAATCCAACCACTACAATAGGTCCTAAAATGGGTGGTGAATTCACCTACCCCGAAATGGGATCCCATTGGTCTTTGGACCCACAGCCAGGTGTTTAGTCTTTTTTGGTTCAGCCCCAGAACTTGGTCTTTGCATGCCCACGCTTTGGTTCAGCTTGTTGTCCTTTGCCCCCTAAGAAGACTGGGTCTGGTCTGGGCGGAGACGTCGGACAGTTTAGTATTGCTTTTGAGTTGGCCTACTCTGAAGAAAGAATTGGGGACCTGGCTGCTTCAGCGAATCTGAGAACAATAGCATCTATCAATAGGGTGCGTTTATTTAAAAGGGGGAGGGGAGAATGATCCCTACAGAATCATGGAACTCGAAAGGCCCCCCATGCATCCACTCTTTCACACCCCATCCAAGTGGTCGCCGAGATCACGCCAAGTCGCGAGAAGCGGTTGTTGGTGGCCTGGTTCTTCACGGCACCGTGGTTCCTGCATTACAAGAGCTTCTTCACATTGCATGTGCATATACAGGTACACAAACGAAAGAAACTCGGTGTCTCCCATAAAATGACATGTGTGTTCCTCAATAGTCTGACCAGCAGTTTGCCAAGCCGACTGACGATCTCATTCATATTGCCAGGCCCGCAACTTGCCGGGTCATCGAACAGCAAGTCCAGACTGATTTGGGTGTGTCTGTTTTTGAGGGCGCGGTTTGTCTTTGGTTCCCGCAAACCACCCCCAAAAAACATACCCTCCAAAAATGAAAAATCATGTCTTCTCTGTCGAGGGAAGTAGTGAGAAAAGCCAAACGACCTGGTCCCGAAACCGAGAAAAAGAGCTGGGGATGACGCACGGCTCTCAAATCTTAAATGTTTCTGGCAAAGCTCCGGCTATACCAAAGTCTGCCATTTGGGTGTGGCTCAAAATCAAACCAAAATCAAACAGCTAGGCCAATCCGCGGGTTTTAGTCTTTGTGCAAGGCCGTCTTGGGTACCATTTTATTAGCCACAGCCATTTGACTACAGATGTTGCCATGGGTGTTTCCCATGTCACAGAAGCTGGAGCAACCTAAACCAAATGTCCGGATTTCAACCCAGGTGTGAATGAGACATAATGGGACATAGCCAATTGGAGAACTGCGCCAGCCTGTGCAGGTATCTCAGCTTCACTCTCATTGGTTTGGATTGGTGGTTTGCTGGTTGGCGGTGGCTTCCCATTTACCCCCCCGAACCAAGGTTCCCCAAGCCATCAATCCAAAACAACCAATTCGGGGACACCTCAGTTGTGTAGTTTATTCCCTTCTAATTCATATGAATAATTTCCGTACCTTTATGTAATGGAGGAGCACCAAAAAGAAAAACACTACTCACCTGTTGTCCCATCATCCTTCCACACCCCGCCGTTCGCAGCGCCTGCGTGCTCCCGGCGACAGCCGGTCGTGCCACTCCGGCCAGGCGCGCTCACCTCAGTGACTCGACCCAGATGCGTGGCACCGGCTTCCAAAACCGGCGGAAATTCACGCGCGGAAAAACACCCAGACACTCCAATGTTGGTGCCATTTGCCTGAGAAGGAACATTGGGGTTTGGTTTATAAGGCCAATGTTGCTCTGAGAGGCATACATCCAAAATGTTGGTTCGACAAATGCACGTTCGACAATTCTCCTGCGATTAAATCACGCCGAATGTACCCCAGATTAGGCATACATTTGGCCCACATGTATGCCAAAAATGGCATACATTCAGTTCGACAATCACGCCAAATCACGCTCAATCACGCCCAATCACGGCATCCGACAAATCATAGATTCTGATAAGCCCAATGTTGCCAAATTATGCCTACATACCGAATGCTGCTCTGAGAGGCTACATTTGAATGTTAGTAAATATGACCAACATGGAGTGTGTGGGAACCTCAAGGAGGTGGGGGAGCCCGGGATTCAACCGGAAAAAGGGCGGAAAACCACGCGCCAGTAACACCAAACAAATCGGGGGGCTTCTTCTCTGTCTCGGCCCACTTCGTGGTTAGCCTTCTTGTCAAATTCCCCTTCGAATTGGGGGGTGATCAATATTCCATTTTGGGCCTCCAGCTTTGACCATAGCAGCACCCAGCAAAGAGCTATCTGGCGCTTGCTCCATCCCCTGAATCAAAAGTTTCCGAGGCCCCAAGAACCCAAACACGTAAGCCATGGGTCTTATTCTCTGCGAAACCCTCGACTCCAGCGCTTGATATGGCAGCCTCAGTCCCCTTTGGTCTATGGTCAAAAAACGGGCTACAAGGTGGACAAACCGGGCTTCAACAACTGGAGGACACTTTCCTCCAGAATTCAGTTGCCCGCTGACGCGTGCAGCTTGCCACTTGGACGGGGAGCTGTCTTTGGATTGGCTGATTCGGGTTTCTCCTACTGCGTGGAACCAGCTTGGACCAAAAGCACGTCAGGTTTCTGCTAAGCAATGCGAGCGCAAAAACCTGAAACGAGCCGGACTTCATATCAAAAAACTTTTTAGCGTGTCCGCATGTCGAATCTCGCCCTTCCTTCTCGGAGCTGGCCAAAGGCAGCTTCAGCAACACCACTAAAGATCTTGGTCATGCTCACTTTGAAGTCATCCGTTGAACAACATTCAAAAAGCATCAAGTTTACCTTTTCAAGTAATCCAGTAATGGCCAAAACATTGTCGACCCCTTTGGTCAAAAGTGTCATGATGCCTGCAAAGAGTCTTGGTCGGCACGGCATCGATGAGTCTTTTTGCCGTAAAGCAGCTGACGCCCTGTTCGGTGTCGCACTTCCAAGTGAGGTCGGTGTTGTAGTCCGCCCGCAGCTCTTTCAACCGTGCCTGAAGCAAATGATTCAACAGGAAGAAGTTCCGGTTAAGCGAGATGTGAAGTTGTCTAGCCGCTAGCGCGCAAATGGACAACTCCATCCATGCGTTCAAGATGGGGAATTCTTTGTGCCACATGTTGAATCATAGGATTCATAGATCAATTTCAAAACGTCTGGACCGACCGCAACATGACAGCCAATGCCATCTATGAGACCCAAAGAAGGCAAACACAATCCTCCCCTCACCCACGCGTTGGCATTCGAAGCGTCTGCTCTCCTTAAAAGACTCACGTTCACACTACTGGGGGAGGCCGCCCAAAAGGGGGGGGGGATTCGAGAATTTCGCGCCCTGCGTCGCCTGGTTCGGCAGGGGGTGGTGGTACACACTGTCCTGGCCCCAGCTCGGAGCTTGGCCCATCTATGGACTGCGGACTCCTTTGGCCGTTTTGACCTTGAAACCATCACCTGCCTTTCTCCTCCAGGGGTCACCCCTGTTCTCCAAAAACTGCTCCTTTGGCATTTTGCTCTCAAAAACAAATCCCCTGGCTTTCTCTTCCCGCGGGGTCACCCCAGCGGATCCTAACTTCAGATTGGCCAAAGAAGAAGGAGGTCGCGGGATCGGATCCTGATCCGAGCGGCAGATGGTCCCAGCCGAAGCTTGGCCGAAGCTGGTCGTTTCTCAGTGGCCCAGGCTGAAGAACCTCACCCCACAACGTCAGATCCCTAAAGCTTTGGTACGTTGGCATTAGCTATGGGTTTTGGAGCTATGGATGCTAATATGTAGATTGAAATGCACTATTTACCCCCTAAATAAGTGGGATACAACCGCCATACCTCCCAAATCCATATCTGAAAATGCCGATTTGATCGACATGGGTGCTTCAGCTGGTTTATGGCGTACGGTTGGCAACTCTCCTGGGTATTTCGTCTGCGCGGCACCCAGTTATGGTCTGTCGGAGCCTCTCCCCGCCCAACGGAAGGTAACTGCCTTGCCTCTGGTACCAAGCTTGGTTGCTGCTGACGCCCCTGCAAAAAGTTTTTAACTTTTTGGGTGTTTGGTGGAAAACACCTTTATTTCCCAAAAAGTTGAAGTCTAAAGATCCAGTCAAGCAACCCCCCCTTGGAAACCAACCCCCCGCAAGCGCATCAAACCCGCCCACACTTCGCTTCGCTCTCCTCATCGGGCTCCACAGTCAGGATCTCCAACAAGTAGTCGGCCGCGTCGGGCGTCTGCTCTAAGAGCAGGATCCAGTGCGCCACCGAGAGGCTGTCTTCTTTCTGCAGCTCATTCGCAACCTGGCACAGAACCCCTCCGGCAAGTTCTGGTCTTCAGTTCGGAGCCACTGGGCCAAGAGGCAACCTCCGGTTGGGCACAAGACTTGGCCGTTTTTGGCTAACGCAGCAACTTCTGGGGGAAACGCTCTCTGAAACGGACAGACAAGCTCTCAGCTCGATCATGCACCGTACAACTGGCAACACAAAGCCTTCAATTAGTTTGTGTGACATGTGTGTGTGCAAAGAAACAACCACGCCCTAAACACAGGGTGCGGTGTGCTTCTCAATCCCCAAAAACATGTTTTTCGTTGACACAAAACTTCTCGGACCTTTGTAGGCATGGAATCTCTCATCCTTTCGTGGCCGATACTCACGGGTTTCCCTTCATGATAGTGGGATGTGCCACAAAGATCCCCACGTCCCATGAAAACCAAGGGTTCTTTCTATCCGATTGCACGAAGACCTAGGCGGGGGTTGCTCAAATTGGAAGCATCACGGCCGCATACGCTAGATCAGCAACAAAAAAAATCGTGTCAAGCGAGTACGTATGTTATTACCCAGATCTATATAGCTCAATTGCCAATGAATACCCGCTCGCAGATTGACAAAGCGACCCAATCATCGGTCGCCAAGTCTCAGAACTGTAGGCTATCACATGGTATGCATTGTCACCGTCGCCATTGTCAAGCATCACCTCTCTTTCTTCCTCCCCTATCTGCCAGCTCACTGAGGACATCGATCCCCTTCCAACACCCACCGAGAGAAAGCTTGCGTGATAGTTGCGACTGAGTTTGCATCTGCTCTCACTTCCTGTGCGGATTGGCCAAAACCTTGTTGTTTTCTTTTGCGGCTGGCAAGCTTGCGAAAGGCAAGATGTAAGACCCACGTCGGCTGGAGTTTTGAGTTTTCTGGCTACTCAGTGTTTGAGCGTGCGCACTTAATCGCACTGGGGGTTCAACATAGGAGTGTTGGAGTCATGTAAACACCATGCAACCTGGCACCTGTTGTTGGCTCGCGCTGGTGAACGTGAAATCAGCGGGGCCGTAAAACGGTGCGTGACCTTGTTTTTACTAGGTCCTCCAGTAGAGAGGAATAAGGGTACCCTCTTTTTTGTGTAGTCTATTTTAGTAGGGGAACCCTCCCAACCAAAAAAGGGGTGAGACAGGGCACTACTGGGGGACCTAGCTTACGACTCAAGCTTCTTCAGGAGGTGAGTGAGAAGCGCGCTTAACACTGGCCCCCTTTTGGTCAACCTGGTTAAGTTGCACAATCTCATCTCCCTGCCCAAGAGGAACTCCTGTTACGTCCATTATCCACTCCCATCCACGTTGCCATGCGACGTTTTGAGGTGAACGACTATGTTCTTTTAAAAGGGACCGAGCCGGTGGGTTCCATGTTGCGGCGTGGTCATTTTATCTGGTATACGCCATCGTGGAAAGCAATGGCTGGAAACCCGAAACCTGAAACCGACTTGGAATTGGAATTGAACCCAAAGCGTATTGTCCCCTGATTCCCTTTGAAACCAACGCTTAAGCAAGTGGAAGAAAGCAAAAAGGAGACAGGGCACTGACAGAACTGCAAGGCCCCATGTCAAGCTTCCACTTGCTTCAGCCCCCGGGACAATGATGAGGCATGGTCAGTGAAATCAATTCCCTCTCAACCCAAGGGAATATTGACAATCATAGGTGATCTTTTGGAAGAAATGGATGGGGTTCCTTGTAAATATGGCATAAAACAAATATCTAAGCCACTGGAATCCATCTATTTCCAACCATACCTCAAAAGGACACCTATGCATATTTCAGCAAATGGTAGGTTCAGGGTGTTGTTAGCATAGGTGGCCTTTTGGACAACTACATGGCCCTGGTAAATGGGATAAAACCCACCTGAACCAGTGCCATCTATGTTTAGCCAAACTAACCTAAAAAGGACACCTATGGTTGTTAGTTTCAATGGTTTCCATTGATCCGGGCTGAAGAGCCCCCCCGCTTCCGACGCTTCCGACTAAGGCCTGGGGCCGGTGTGCTACGGCGTCCGCAGACTCCGCCCCGGCGAAGTCGCAGAGCAGATTCCTTGAGGCAACGAGGGACACGCGAGTCTTGCTTCCGAACGAGTGGATTGGCCGGAAAACGTGCCCAAACTTGTCGTTCACCACTAACATGGTCTGCTCAAAGGGAAACTTGACATGACATGAGAGCCACAAAGCGAGCAAGCTTTGTAAAGGAGTTGAAGCCGTTGAAGCCATGTTGGGTCCTTTTGGTTGTAAGGGCTTCATGGAGCCAGGCGAATCAAGGGCTTAAAGCCAAAAGCCATCAAAAGGGCATCCTTTACCCACATAGGTCAACCCAATGGAACCAATGACCAGCCGAAACTGGATCAAGCATGGACAAAAATGGTCCGGTGTGCTCTCTTTCTCCTTTGGTTTTTACCTGTCCAACCGTTGTCGGGGAAAAAAGAAAACAACAACATCCAGGACAACTGCCGGAGAAAAAACGCCATCCGAAAACGACTCCTTTTGGTGGGCCATGTTGGACTCCAAGAGCTAGGTCCTCCAGATTTGCGAGGTTAGAATAAGTTGGTACCCAATCTGTTTTGTTTTCACTTTTGTCTATTTTAGATAGGGTTCCCCTCCCAACCCAAAAAGTTACGGAGTAAAAGTTGGCACCGATTTCCTGGGGGACCCTCCGAAAGAGGAAACCCCCCGGTGAAAACCGAAACGCGCGATGGCCAGGTCTCCGGATGAACTCCGTGGCGGCGCCGGGGCAGTGGTCGGACACCGTGAGGATGTCCCCGATGCGGAAGCGGGCCAAAAGGTGCAGCCGCCTCTCTCAGTTGAGCTTGGAAGGGGCCATAAGCTGCAATTGTTGGTTGGTTCTGGCCATAGACACCTTCAACCTTGTTGGTTTTGAGCTGATGCTTGTTGGCTTTGGCAATGAAGACCTTCAAGTTTATGGGTGTTGGCTATAAAGTCCATGTTTGCGGGTTTTGGCCATAACAGCCTTCAATTGTTGCGGGGTTTGGCTTCAAAAGCCTGCAATTGTGGTTGGTTTTGGCCGGAAAACCCAAAGAACATGGCGCCTTTTGGTTGGGGTTTTGGCACCTTCCATTTCCATTCTTTCCAGGAATCCTTCTTTCTAGAGAACCTTCAGAAACCGAGGGAAAACGCCTGGTTGCTGAAAAGAGCCATGGTTGAAAAGAATGGGGAATCACCCCTGGAAGAAAAAAAAACATGGCCCGCGAAATGCCGCGCCTTTCGCGGTGTTTGAGCAAATATATGCATCATAAAATAGGTCTCTGTGGTAAACACATAGTCTCTCTTGTCTTCTTCTTTGCGGGGGGGGAGGGGGGCAGGGTGAGCCACTGTTTCAATTTCTATGGCTCTGCATTTCTTGCGAAGCAGCAAACTATCCCTCTGAAAAATACCAAGGAACTAGTACCCCTCCTGGTCGTTCACCCTTTATGTAGCCAAGTGGGGCTTGGTATTCTCTCATTTCTCTCGTGCCATTTAGACCTTCCGCCTTCCCTTACAAGATTCCGAGGCTGTGAATCGGTGCTTCCACGAGCATGCGGCGTGCGTTTGTTAAAACTGCTTCCGCAGACTTCAGCGGGCATGCTTCGGTTGCTTTTGCTGCCGCGGCCACATGTGTTGTACATGGTGGGCGTCTGTTGCAACTTATGATGCCTATGTTGTTCAACATGTTCTAAACACAAAAAGCACACACACACACAAACAGCAAAGAAGAACAGCACAACTTCTGCGGAGATTTCAGGCAAACCTTTCCGCAAACCTTCCGCGCACCTTCGGTCCCACGTGTATGAAACATGTCCAAATCGGCCGCTTAACGAACAAGAAAGGCGAACCTCATCATGTATCTAGGCCTGAACTCATGATGTTTACTGTTCTTTGGTGGTATCAACGTCAGAAACTGGTTCGATGTTCCCCTTTAAGCCACCACTTGAAGGTGACTTTGATAATGGTAAAGCACTGGGGTTTGATTTCCCCTTCTTTTCAACCATCGTTCTTTCAAAAGCCAGCTGCTTCCCTGGGTTTTTGGATGGTTTCCTGCAAAGAAATTCGGATCCCTGGAAAGAATGGGAACCTAGACTCTCCATGACCCTTTATAAAATGGCTCCACCCCATTATTTTGGGCAATGACGCCCATTTTTTCAGGGTCATGGAGACTCCCGGAAGGTAGCCCCAGGAGTGCTCTGGGGCTGACCGCTGGCTTCTGCGCCTCTGAGGAAAGACCCCGGACTCCACCGCCACCTCCAGGGCAGTGCGCCGGCTGTTGTCCTCGGAGAGGCAAAGGGCACATGGCAGGAACCACAAAACAGGCCGTGAAGGTGGAAAAAAAGACATGTCCACATGTGCGGTGCACGAATCTTCAGCCACAATTGCAGTCCAAAGGACCTACCAACCTTGGACCCTGGAAAGAAAGGGTTTTCCACTACGCCAGACCACGTTAAGCTTGCAACAGCTGATCAAATCGACCCTTTCTCAGAGCGACCCAGATTTCGATGTGCGAAACGCTCCAAGGTCCTCCTTGCGATCTGTCTGCTCCGAAATGACACAGACTACGGGGCCCCTCTTCATGGGGTGATTCGGTCACGGCCTCCTTCAAACCCCGACCCAAAAGGAAGCTCACTCAAAAACAAGGCAAACGCCTAAAAACTCCGCGTTTGCCACGAAAAATGGTGTTCAAGACAAGCATGAACCTTCCCATAAATCCCGAAAAAAACAAAAGCCGCGATCCAAAGGGGGCCTCATTTCGTACACCCCGGGGAGCCGGCACGTGGAGTGCCTCGCCAACGACAGTGTCCCCATATTTCCTCCTTAATCATCAGCCAACCAAAAAAAAGAAATAATAATGAACAATATTCATTTACCCAAATGGAAGAATCAATTCCACATTCCAACAAATCCACGCCCAAACCAGCTTTCCCCAACCATTGTTGGTGTTGCCAAATGTCTAACTACACTCCCCTTACCAAAAACAAAGAGGGGGAACATAAAAATAACACAATATATTCATTTCAGCCAATGTAAGTTGGGGCCTTCACCAAAAACCGACCCCGCTCCCCCAACCGGCCCCCGCCACCCCCCCCGCCACTCCCCCCACCCCCCCCAACCGCCCCCACGACGCCGACATCGCGTCGGGGGCGCCCGGAGCTCCATGTCGGCGCCGTAGCGCGCCAGGAGCTCCGCGAGGTCCGAGGCGCCCATCTTGGCGGCCACGTGCAGGGCCGTCATGCCGTCCAGGTTGGTCCTCACCGCCAAAAGTGGTGGGTCAGGGTGGCCATGAACACCTGGAAACGATTTATTTTGCAACCAAGAACCCTACAAAAAACCATATCCTAACGGGAGGAGGTTGCAAAATAGACAATTCCGGGGTCCGTACACCACGACAAGGGGGGGGGGAGGGGGGGTTGGGCTGACGGCTTCCTTTTTGGTCCTTGTTCAGGCGAGTTGCCAGGTATTTTGGGCCCCAACAACCTCCAAACCGAAAGGAACAGGAGTCGGTCCCCTTCATGGGTTTTCTTGCTCACCTCGAATTTTCTGGTATTTGGAATTCAAAACCCTTAGGAAACCAACAGGAACATCTCACATCTTGGGGTCCACCCATGGCGTTTTTGTCCTTGTCTGCCTGGCATGTGAAAAGGAACATGGCCAACAAGTTCCCCTATTCCGGCAGGATCACCATATGACACCCTGCCTGTTATGAACCGCCTGGTCGGAACTTTGACTGAGCCGTCCCGCAAAAATAGAATGGCCAGGACGTAATTTAGATAAACGTAGCAAGGCGCATTGGTTTCATTCCGGCTTGAATACCAGGGTACAAAGGGATCGCCTCAAATGTTGAACTAGAGCATAGAAGAGTTTAAATGATAGAACCCACCAAGAGGAAAGGGAAAAGTGCCTCTGAGCAAAGATGCTGCAAATGTTTGGCGCCGGAAGTAAGTGGTTCCCGAGCAACCCTGGCTCTGAAGTAAGGGGTTCACGCGCAACCCTGGCCTGCGTTGTGAGTTGTTTTTGTCTATTTGTGTGCAAAGGATGCACCCAGAAAGGACACACACACACACACCAGGGTCTAGAATACTAAACAAACACAATTCCCCTTGTGGCAAATGAACAGTTCTTCTTGGCTGCTCAGCGACTAAAAACACACCCTGGAGTCCCAAAACAAGGCGAGCTTGTTCAAAAGCAATGGGTTCCAATTTGGGGGGAAGGGGCCTTTCTGAATTTTTCAAGAGCGTCTTCTGAGGCCTCTCTCTGATCAACCTTCATATATGGCTGTGGCTCAAAATTAAACAGGAGGGGCAAACCGCAGGTTTTGGTCCATGTTTCCACTTACCAGGGCAAGCCATTTTGGTAGCGGCTTTTTGAGCCACAGCCATATGTTTGCGCCAGCTCTTATCCAAAAGAGGAACACAGGGTATCCCGGCTTTTTGCTGGAGGTGCTGGGTGTTGGACTTCCCATATCCATAAGTTGCAAAGCACCGCACCAAATCAGATTCCCTAGAAGTGGTTGGATCCCGAACCACCAATCCAAACCACCAATTGGGGACCTGAAAAGCACAAGTCACACGCAACGAAACAAGGAAGCGGAACAGGGAACTCAAACTTAGCATCCGACATCGCCTTATCCACTCGGCCGAGTGGTCCTTGTCTGTTCTATGGATGAACCCTCAATACCCTGCCTTCAGCTTGAACCACCCAGGTCGAAATTCAGCCATTGCACGTCGGACCAAGCAGATTTTTTGACATATGCACCATTGTTTACCTGAGGAACTCTAGTTTTGTGAATTGGATCAAGCATTGTCTGAATGGGGGTACTTCAGGCTAGATGTGTCTAAGGAAGTGCAGTGCTTAGCAATCTGTTCCCGCTTAGCCGAACGGACCCGGCCAGTTGAGTTTTGTTCTGGGCTGATGGACATGGGACACCCGAACATGGTCCGCTTCCTTTTGGCCTTCCCTGCAAGTAAAGCCACTTCAAAGGGGTATCCTTTCAGAACACACCCACATAGATTGGCACATTTTTGCGATGTCACTAGGGGTGGATTGCAAAGTCACCCGTGGTGACAGTTTCTTTCACAGGCAACCGACTCTTGCCGAGGTTCTCATCCACACTGGCCATGCAGTCTAAGAGATATCTCACCACCTCCATGTCTCGAAAAAAGACCGCGTCCTCGGCGGTTGAAGTGAACACGATGCCGATCTGCCCAAGAAGAATTGCTTGGGGTGGTGGTGGGGGCGGCCAGGGCCGGAAGTCTGGGAGCGGATAATCAGAAGTCTCATCCACAACTTCCAAGTGAATCAGCCACAGTCAAGCATGCACGAAAGCCCCCTTTGCGCTTGGCAGGGCTTCCGCCTGTCCTGAAAAGGCTTGAAGCTTGCTTGGGTGGATTGGTCAAGCAAACATAAAGTACCCAAAACTTGTTCTTTGCTACTAAAACGGTCTTCCCAAAAAGTATACCTAGACTCTCCATGACCCTTTAGAAATGGGTCCATGACCCCGTTATTTTGGGTAATGACCTCATTTTTAAGGGTCATGGAGACTCCAGGTACAGTCCAGAAACGGGAAGTGAGTTGTCAAAAACAACCCCTGGTCTTGCATATGGCGATGGCACCAGCCGGCGGGCTCGGATGCAGCTACGGTGTTGTTCCCAAAGGCGGTTGCCTTTGGGATGTCCTTCACACCGCACGGCGTTTTTCTTGGCACACCCCGGAGACGGTCGAATTTGGCATGGCTGCATTGCTAGGAGCCGCCCGCAATGTTCCAAAGGCCTGCTTCCTGTCCTTCAAGAATGGCCAGCAGTGCACAGATAGACAAAGACACAGAAGAGAGACCAAGCTAGGAACCAGGTTGAACCCTCGCACCCTTGGCTCCCCGCGGAATTGCATGGCAAGCCAAGCAGCGTGCAGTGGGCAGAAGTGTTCCTTGCCATCCAGCAGCACACGCGCGTTGATGTCGGCTCCAGCATTCCTGCCGGTTCGGTCCAGTCGAGACTGTATGGAAGGGAAAGCTGGACTGGATATATTGAAAAAAATCTAAATGTGCAACGTCAAACCTCTTTATATGGCTTATGGTCATGGCTCCCTCAGTAGTCAGGATCCTCACTATCAGGGGGATGACCATGCCCACAAACCCCAAGTAAACAGGTCTCTTGAGCATGACACATACGTTGTTCAATAGGCCGGCTGGGAAAGGGGGTGGAACTTTTGCGAACAATGTCAACCTCCGGCAAAGATCGCAACTCAATTATGCACAAAGCAGCCAGGGCTCAAGCCGATACATCAGATGTGCCTACAACAAATGGGTATGCGTTGTTTTTGATTGTAGCCTTTGGAAGGGTAACAACTGGAACACCGCAACTTCTAAGGGCCCCCAATTTTAAGACACACCCAAGGGCAAGTGGCCACAAGTTCCTGACAGATCGGCCCCATGACCTTCTTGCCTGTCGCCAGGGAGCCCTCAAAGCCTTGCTTCGGTTTCCTTGTGCCAAGCCATGTGCAAACTCATGGCCATGCCGGGCATAAAGCCGCGCTAAAAATTCTGCCGAGCCAGGCCTGAAACGAGGCAGCAACTCCCATGGATGAGCTCGTTTTCTCCCCATCCCCCAACTCCCGGCGCAAACTCATTACAACTCAAAATTATAACTTCCCCATTCTTTCCAGGGATCCTTCTTTCTAGAAAACCATCAAAAACATTGGGGAAATGGCTGGGTTTTGAAAAGAACGATGGCTGAAAAGAATGGAAAAGGAGTCAACTGCTTTAAAAGTGGAAGAACTCAACATAACTCGGCAAACAAGATTAAAGTGACACAGGCAGCACCCCTGGGCCCGCACACCCCCCATTTTGGGTTTCAGCCCAAAATGAGGCCAAGGCGCATCAACAGCTGAACGTTCTCGAGGCAGCCCTGCACCGCCAAATGGATGGGCTTTGCGCGCCCCTCCTTCCTTGGAATCTACCGATTTCGAATACATGGCGTTGAAGGGGAGCAGAAATTGGAAAAATAGCATTTGAGTGGTTGGATCCCAACCACTAAGCCACAATAAGCAAAAATGCAAAATGTGTCCCAACAACAACCTTGGATTCGCATTCGAGGCGGATTTGCAAAATCGATGACCACCAAAGGATGGTAACAGAACTGAAACAAGCGGAATCCACTGAAATATATTTATGCCGCCCTTGCAAAGGTCCTTCCATCGAAAGGGGAAATCCGCACTTGTTGCTCGAAATATTCAAATCTAAACCACCTACTGTGGAGGAGACATGGACAATCGACCATGACCTCAGGCTTTGTTGCTTGTTTCTTGGGAGTTTGTGGCTATTCATCAAACACTGTTGGGTTCTAGGGAATGATTAAAGTCCTCACATTCCCCTACCAGAAGAGAAAACAAAATATAACAAAACAAACCAACTGAATAAGTTTTGCTGATGCTTCCCAAAACAGAACTGACAGAAACCCTTACTTGAATTGCTAGAGAGGTTGACCTGAACATCAAGTCTTGGCTTTGCGGTTTCTGTGCGAAACAGCCAGCTTTGACCAATCAACAGGAACACCCACCCACTAACCAACCAATCAAAAAACCCCGCCGACGAACCATCCAGCCAGGCAGTCAGCCAACCAGCCTACCACCCGCCCGCCCGCCCACCCCAATCAATCAATCAATCAATCAATCAATCATTCATTCATTCAATCATTCATTCATTCATTCATTCATTCAATCAATCAATCAATCAATCAATCAATCAATCAATCAATCAATCAATCAATCAATCAATCAGCCAATCAGCCAATCAGCCAGCCAGCCAGCCAGCCAGCCAGCCAGCCAGCCAGCCAGCCAGCCAGCCAGCCAGCCAGCCAGCCAGCCAGCCAGCCAGCCAGCCAGCCAGCCAGCCAGCCAGCCAGCCAGCCAGCCAGCCAGCCAGCCAGCCAGCCAGCCAGCCAGCCAGCCAGCCAGCCAGCCAGCCAGCCAGCCAGCCAGCCAGCCAGCCAGCCAGCCAGCCAGCCAGCCAGCCAGCCAGCCAGCCAGCCAGCCAGCCAGCCAGCCAGCCAGCCAGCCAGCCAGCCAGCCAGCCAGCCAGCCAGCCAGCCAGCCAACCACAAAACCGTCAGCCAGCCAGCCAGCCAGCCAACCAACAAACCAACCATTGACAGGGACCATTCTGACATGGCCTTCCAAAAATGGAGCAGTCACCAACCAAATCTCAATTCCGAGCGTCTCAAAGGCTCGGTACTTGCACTCCGCGTTGATGTCCGCCTTCATCTCCAGCAACCGTTCCAACAGCTCCCCGTCCCTCTGCAACGAGGCGATGTGGATGGCACCCCCGATGCACTTCCGCTTCCTCAGGCGAATCGGGTCCCGGATTCCGGGTGGGTGGCTTTTGTCAGCCCAGTTCGGACCGAAAGATAAGACCGCGGTATTTGTCCGGGCCAATATCAAGCATAGCTTACACTTCTTTACTGTAAGCTACGTCAGCTAAACTTTTTCTTGTGTGATCAGATGTTGCGGACAAAAACGCAAAGTATCAGGCGACTCAGGTAGCCCTGAATGAGTGGTTTGGTTTTCTGGTGTGATTTGAAGCCCTGATGGGAAATGATTGCTGATCAGCCAAATTGGGGCCCATGTTTAAAACGCAACCAACCCGCAATCGCCCGCTATGTTACGTTTTGCCTGGAACAAGGACCAAAGAACACACCAGGTACTTACAAGCTTAAGGTATGGGCCAAGAAATTGTGGTTTCCTCTCTTGGAACGCCCTTTGAATGCTGAGTACAAGAAAGGCGACCTCAATTGAACCGACGGGTCTGAAATCAGGATCAGAGCTTGCAGCAAGGCATCTTGTACAGAAACGTGAAGGCGTAGGACCCGTCCAGAATCTTGTCGCGGGTCGCTTCATCCTCAGTCGTTGCTGTGGGATGCCCATCTGGCATCAACCGTGAAGGTTTGCCCGCGATGTGATTGAAAAATCAATGTCCATGCAGTTTCCGTATTCACTGATTTCCGGTTGCTTACGTGAGTTCGAGAGTTTGGCGGTGCCAGTGATTTCCAGTTATATACTTCTGATTTCTTTAAGGCTGAGTTACCACCAGAAGGTACCTCTTGGGTCCAAGCGAACAGCCCAGTGAGGTACGCCCAGGTTGGAGATTTGGTTTAGGGCCCAGAATTTGGCCAGGCGGCCCCACTCTCTGAGAGGATGTAGAGGATCTCCTCCTTCCTTGGTAGCCGACTACGGGAAACCGTCAAGCCGACCATTGTTTTGGGGCACCAAAAGCACTTCATCATTCCCAGCTGGGAGTGTCTGTTTTTTGGAGTTGACCAACCAAAAAAAACCGGCCCACATGGACTGAACGATGCCCGCTTCACTTCACTTGGAAAGCAACTTGTGGGCTGCCTTGGCTATGGTGCCTGCCTCGAAAAACCTTTTTGGGGTTGGTTTCAAGGAAAACCCAAGGGACCCTCTTTTGTGCTTCTTCTTTGGGAAGGGGGGTGGACAAGTCCCTATTTTGATACATGGCTTGTCTCAATGAAGGGACCCCCCCCAAACAAGAACAACAATAAGCTCAGGTGATATCCCCAACAGCACGCGGTGATCTTTTTAGTGTTCGCACCACCCCGCAAAGAACCTCTGGTGGAACCCTCGTAGAACCTTACCTCAGGGCCGCCCCGGACCACCCCGGAGCCTATCTGGGCTGAGACCCCAAAGCTTTCAGCTGTTGCGGAAAAAACACTGCTTGCCTGTTGGTTGCCCTCCTAAAACCAACCCAGAGAGACACAGATGCAGACGCAGGCGCAAACACAGACAAAGATGCAGATGCAGATGCACACGGAGACACAAACGCAGATGCAAAAGGAGACACACAAACACACGCACGCGCAACTTTCTTGAGGGCACACCTTTTGTGGTCTTGAAGGAAACCCACAAGGACAACCGCCAACTTGGGGGGTCCAAAGCCTAGACGAAACACACCCACAAGCCACTATCGGAACAAGCGTCATGCGTTCCACTCTCATTATTTTCTCAGGTCACTCCTAAAGAGGTCGGTTAGAGGCAAAGAACCCCAGCTGCCATGTCCTTACATAACTCCTGGCAAACCCTTACCTCCATCTTTTCAAAAGGCTCCGAGTCCTTCCAACCAGCTAGCCTGCTGACGCTGATCACCCGCAAGGCTGTCCTTTGCCAGGCTGCTGTGCCTCGAACTGGCGGTTGGCGGTCGTCGCCACGGCCATTTGTGGGCCTGCGCTTTGTGCCGCAGCCACATGTGGGGAATAAAGCGCTTGGCCAACAAAAGAGGTATGGAAACAAGATGTGGGATTTCTGTTTCTATTGTTTTGAAGGAGACCCCAACCAAATGTGTGCCCAGGGTGAGTTTACATTTCCGCAAGTAAAGAACCTAACTCCTGGCTCTAACCCCCAGTGGTCCCGCCTTCAAATAGGCGGTATCTTTCTCGGGTTCCATGTAGCAGGTAACCCTCAGTTGTTGGAGTTTGGAGCTTGGATTGGAGGTTCGGGGATTGGAACCCCTCCTATTGCGGGAGATGGGAATCCAACCGCCCAACCAAACTTTGCGCTGGGCCATTTCCATCTTTGGAGCTACGTAGCTGTGTCTACCCATGGCCCTGTGCTCAAGTTCGCTTAGATAAAAATGCCCTACCCAAGCAGGTCATTTTGCAGTCCACGAACATGTCTATTTGGAGGGGGCCAAAAGGGCGTCACCATCACCCCCAACTAGGAAGAACGTGGGGGGGGCCCGTCCACACATTGTTTGCCTTGAAATGCTTCGTCCCTTCATTCTTTCCTCTGAGCGTGGACCACCACGCTTGTAAAGGGGATGAGCAGCCAGACACATGTTCGAATCAACAAACACAAATATCGGATTCAAGAAATCCCCACCTGCCAAAGCAGGGAGGGAAGAAACCATCTGCAGCAAGATATCCGCGGCACAAAGACCAAGTCGGACGGATGTTTTTTTTTCTCCGCGTTTCAACGCCAAGCTCCAGCCGATGACCTCTGCACCACGTGCTTTGTCCAACGCTCGAACCTCTGTAAGTCCGATATGTTGCTGGCGAGATCTGGCTGTGGGTCAACACCCAGGAAACCCCTGGTGAACATCAAAATAGGTAGTACATGGGTGTTCATCCGCCCCACAATGGAGCCACAGGTTATGACCCATGGCCATATCAGCATAATGAAAGAACTCCACATCATAACTCGGTCTTTTGGGATTTCCTTTTGGAGGACGCTGGCTTCGGCTCGGCACAAACCAGGCAAGCGGGCGGAAGAGAGAGCCCTGGCCTAGGTCCAAGCTTTGCCGTCGCGCGTTGGAGTACTTCTCGTTGGAGATGTCCAGCTTCGAGACATTGGATAGATATCCTCAGTCCAAAGGCTGCCTGGTTTTTGGGGTCCTCAAAACTGGTTGAGTTCAGGGGCGTTTGAGGAGTGAATTTATCAGCGAGTCTTTTTTGAAGGCACCCCCTAATTCGGTGGGCGTTCCTTTTCGTCTCTCTTTAAAAGCCACCAAGAGGGGTACCCTCAAACAAGACACACTATGGATTTCGACGCATTCTCTGCCGTGAGTTGCGATTTCTTGTAAACCAGGCCCAAAGGGTGGACCAATTACTTTCGAACAGCGAAGGCATCCAAATTGGCAACCGCAAAAGCATCCTAGAAGTGGTCGCAAAGCGATGAAGGGCTCAAAGCTCTAGGGGTTGATTCGCCTTGGCCTCATTTTGGGCTGAAACCTAAAATGGGGGTGTGTGCGAACCCAGGAGTGCTGCCTGTGTCACTTTAGTCTTGTTTGCCGAGTTATGTTGAGTTCTTCCACTTTTCTAGCGGTTGATTCCTTTTCCATTCCTTTCAACCATGGTTCTTTTATCAAAAAACGGATCTGTTGCCCCATTTGGGTGTGCTTTTTAGAAAGAAGGATGCCTGGAAAGAATGGAAATGGAAGGTACCCCTAGAAAAGCCGCGGGGTCACTGGGGATGTCCGGCCTTCAAAAGTTGAACCATTTGCTGCTGGTCTCCATGGCCACTGTTGGAGGTTCCAACTTTGAGGGGATTTGGCTCGGAAACCCTGGCAACCCATACCCTGGACCTTCCTTTTCGTACTTCTTTCGCAGGGCTGTGGGGAATGACCACTTCTGTGATACAACAAAAAAGGCTTCCCAAAGACTATTTTGTTCATATAAAGGGGGATTTCCTTGTATCACAGAAGTGGGGAGAAACCCATTGATCCCACAACCCTGTTTCCCAGCATTTTACGGTTTGGGATGGTGTTTGCTATTTAGGTCTGTGAGGATGTGCGGCTTTTGTGCGGCTCTTTGCGGTGCATTCCAAGGCAGAAAGAGAAACTAGCAGACAATTTGTACTCCTTGAAATGTCCAGGAGTCTTTTGAGGACTCCACCTTTGGAGTTGTGTCACAAGGAACCAAAAGAAAAAACAACAAAGAAAAATCCCACCCGGTTTAACTTGGCAGTCCTCAGATCCCCCGCGAAAAGCTTAACTTCTAGTGGGTTAAAAGAAATCCCCACGAAAGACAAAAAGCTAAAGAAGCTAAGGGGATGGCTGCATCAAGTCTCGGTTGCTTTCTGCTCCCCTGCTAAAAGTTTAACCTTTGTTCGGAAGGCTCTTTTTTTTCTGCAAAAAGTTAAAGTCCTAACATCCCTTGGCAAAATGCACCAAAGAAGGGTGCCACCAACTAATATCTTTGTTGCTGTTGACCTCTCTGCAAAAAGTTTACCTTTTTGTGGATTTAGTGGAAAACCCCCACGAAAGACGAACAAAAAAGAAAGCTCAGGAACCGGATGGCCGGGAGCCACCAAGAGAATAAGGGTTCCAATTTTTTTCTGTAGTCAATTTAGTAGGGGAACCGAATCTCGCACAAAAAAGAAACGGTAAAAGTTGGCACTACTGGGGACCTAGGTGACTCTTTGATCATTTGGCCATGTCTCTGTGATAAAATTCCTCTCTGACGCTTTTTAGGGACCCCTCTCTCCAACAAAAACATCGGTGCTCCTTTTGGTGTCCCTTCAAACCACCAAAACACCAAGCTAAGGCGGTCCCTTCGCGTTTGGATTCCGAGTCTCCGGTCATGCCCGGCACGATTGCGTTCGGCAGCACCTCCTCCATGGAGGCCATGGATTTCTTTTCCGCGATGGCCGAGGATCGAGTGGCTCCCTTTTAAAGGGACCGGGGGCCGAAAGAAAAAAAAACCTAGGTCCTCCAGATTTGAGTGGTCAAAATAAGGGCACCAACTTTTTTCAGGACGTCTAATTATTTTAGTAGGGGAACCCTCCCAACCAAAAAAGTTGGTAAAAGGGCACTCCTGGGCAACCTACCCAACCTCTTGAAACTTAGGACCGCTGCTTTAAAGGGCCCCAACCATGGTCTAGCATGGATTTCCTGGACGGCAGCTTCTAATAAAGGCTCTGGGCTTTGAGCAGTCCTAATCCCCCAGCATGCAGCTAGCCGTTCATTGGACCGCAAGTTGCCAGGTGGAAACGTTTCCAGCCGTGCAAAACTAAACTCCGCAACCAAACTGCAAAAAAAAAGTGCACTTCGCAGCCAAACAAAACAATCCCTCTCGCGCCCGGATTTCTGCGGTTTTCTGTGAGCACCTGTGGCTCCTTCGGCCGAAGCGGCCTTTGTGCCAGGCTTTGCCTGGAACCTTGAGCCAGACCGACCGGTTTCCAGGAACCCGGACAGACCTGCGACCACGACCCACCCTGGCCTCGAGAAAAACCCTGCGGCATGAAGAGCGAGCCAAACATAGGTGTCCGTTTTAGGGGAAGTAGATGGCCCTGGTAGATGATGAAACCACCACGTAAACCAGGGCCATCCATTTTTCTACCAAAACAGCCAAAAAGGACACCTATGGATCCAAATATCAGACAAGTTGGTCAACTTGGAGCCAATGGCCAACTTTAGGACATTCCTCTTGGTGGTTGATCTCAAAGCCCTGACCAGTACCTGAAAATTCCTGTCAGGGCGTAACAGCCAAGGCCAACTCAGCTTTATGTCTAAAGTGACCAGTGAACCCTCCTTGATAAACGGGATTGGCTTAGGCATCAGGAGCAACATTTACATTCTCAACGGTCCTTTGCTCGGCCCACAATTAGGGGTACACCTTTCATATTCAAACCACCCTAAAATGTATACAGTTGTTTCGGAGACCCCAGTTTACCTCACCGCAACCAGAACCGTCCTTGCTCGCGGGGGCCAGGCGTCAAGACTCGGCAAAAGGGCTCAACGCAGGTAGGCATCCTGAGATCTACATGACTAGAGTGAGGCCTAGCTAGAGCAAATACAGGAAAATATGTTATTGCTTGCTTCGCTTTGACTTGCTGGTAACCAAATGTATATCCCAAATCTACCAGCCAGTCTAAATGTAAATTTGGGGTTGTACATAAATGCATGTGATATACCAATTCCCATGTAAAAAGGAGCGGTGCAGTGCAGACATGGCATATGTCAAACAAATAAACAGACAGACAGACAGACAGACAGACAGACAGACAGACAGACAGACAGACAAACAAACAAACAAACAAACAAACAACTGCAAAACAGACACACAAGGACAGAAATAAAGACACACAGAAGGAAAGAAGGGCAGAAGGACAACAAATAAGCAACACAAAAGAATACAGAAAGGGGAAATAGCAACAATCAACACACAAGCAATCAAAGAAGCAAATAAACAAACAAGAAAACAACACAACAAACAAACAAGGAAAACATAACAACGCAAACACCAAAAACGCAAACAAACAACCAAGCAACCAAACACGCAAGCAAACAAACAAACAAACAAACAAGCAAGCAAACAAACAAACAAACAAACAAACAAACAAACAAACCAACCAACCAACCAAACCAGCCACACACGTACACAATCAAGCACAAAACAACAGCAAACAAACACACGTATACACATACCAACGGTCACCAACCAAAGAAGCCAACCAACAAACAAACACATCACAAACACAACACTAACAAAACGCAAACAAATAACCAAACAAGCAAATCGACAAACAAACAAACAAACAAACAAACAACCAACCAAACAAACAAACAAACAAACAAACAAACAAACAAACAAAACGACATCCTGCACCACCCAACAAGCCGTGGTTGAAACCAGTGTTTTTGTTGGTATTTACATTGCAGCATCAAATAACAAACCAGATTCTGAGTCCATCCACAGTATGACCACATTCTTTTTCAGACAGGAATTCCGCCACCCATCGGCTCGCTCTCTCGTCTTGGCCTCCGACAGGGGCGTCACAGGGAAGGGACCCTCGAAGGCCCTTAGCACTGAATCATCCCCCCGCAGGAATGCTGCGACCTCGAGCGGCGACCCGCGAGCGATAGGTCGGCGACCCGGGAGGGAATGACCCTCCGGGTGTTGGGAATGAACCGTGTGGGGATCCCCGATCAAAGGAAACCATAGGGGATGGTTGTATAAGGGGCATGCCTCTTGTTGTTTTACAGATTTTTGCATGTTCTAGACCCCCAGACCTTGAGTGGCAATTTGGAAAGAAGAGCATCTTTTGGTGGTAGTTGGGCTCGTTGTTTCTCCTTTTAAGGATTTGGACCTCCCAAAACAGTTTTCCTTTTGGCTTCTCCTTACACCAATCCCAAAAAGGGTACCGAGCCCCTCAAAATAGAACACACGCGTAGTTGGGTTTGTCGTATGGGGAATTTCCCGAACGCAAACGTCGCTTTTCGACGTTCTTTTGGTTGAGGTCCAATAAGAAACTCAGCGCTTTCCAAGTCGATTTGTAACTTGATTTCGAGTATACTTAAGTAGGACCAATCGCGGTTAGGCCTGCCAGAGGAACCAGCTGAAATTCGACTCAACGGCCCCTTCAAAAGTGATCCGGAAAAACCCCGCGCCGGGGACATTTTATGACACCAGAACAGAACAGGTCTGCAAAAGAACCGGGGCCAACATTACACACACACACAAAATCACCACATCCTCCTTGCGGGCGTCTGGCTTTGCTTTGGTGAACCAGGAGCTCTGCATTTTTTGCCATGTCACCTCAAGGGGCAGTTACCAAAAGGCTTGGCTGTCAAAATAGAACTAAAAGTGCCTTGTTTGCGACTCGACATTTTTGACCTGGCCCTTCCCTTTCGATCAAAACTGCTGCTGTTCTGTTGTTGCTTGACACTCATTTTCTGTCCTTATGCTACGTACTCTCTTTCGTTATCGCATACCACCCTTCAGGGAAAAGTCTCGGTGAGTGGCTTTACTGACATGTTGCTATGAACCCGTTCCAACCCGCCTCCCCAAAACGACTTGGACAAACATATGTGCAATCCATGGGTCTGCAGGGAGTCCGAAATCGGTAGATTGGGATTTGAAGCCCTTTGTTCAGAGTTGATTTCAGCTTCCCTCAAAGCGGTAGCTTGGTTTGGGTAGGTTTGGGGGTGGTTTCCCATCTACCCGAGACGTGCAAATCCGCTTTCCCAACCCGCAAATCCAAAACACCACCAGAAATCCGCCTACCCGATTGATTGTATAGGGAACCTCCCCGTAACCGCTGGAAAACTGGGACGCTTGGCCAAAGGGTAAGCTGAAGCGGCTCTCGAAGCGAAGGGCTTAGGCTCGTCCCCGGAAGGAAAAACTCCCCGGCGGTATCCCCGACAGCCCCGGAACCTCCCGTCCGGAAACCCCCCCAGCCCCAGAGCCTTTCTGAGACCCAGCTGAAAGAGCAGTTGGGATGTTTCAGCAGCAAAAACGACTCCTTTGGCCTTCCGAGTAAACCGCCAGTAAACCCAGAGACCTATGAATATGAATCAACGCGGAGGTTTCTTCCAACCCGGGGTCTCTCCCAAATTTGACCGTCTTCTTTTTTCTCTAAATCACCAGGGAGAAATCTTTGGGTTTATTCTGATGGTTCCTCAGTTCCTGGTATAAACCCTGTAATGTTGACCCAGGATTCATAAACCCATCCCATTATTAGGGGGGTGTTCCCTCCAAAAGTGGTCTGAATTCCGACTCAAAGGTGGACACCCCCCAATCAAAATCAACCAGGGTTCTGCTTAATCCGGGGCTAACAGTGGTGGAAGTCCCTTTAAAACCACAAAAAATCGGGTTTATTCCGATGGTTCCTCGGTTCCTGGTAAAAACCCTGTAAGCCGATGGAAGAATGGCCATGGGTCAGAATCCAAATCGTACCCCCCAGTGAACATCCCAATCTCCACTGAAATAGGTTCTAAAATGGGATGGTGCACCTACTCCAAGATGGGATCCATTGGTTTTGGCCCACAGCCAGGTGGTTAGATGTTGGGTTCAGCCCCACAACCCTTCATCTTTGCAGAGGGTAGATGGGAAACCCCTCCTTGTCCAAATGGTTGTTGGGCTCTGGGACTGTTGGGCTGTTGGGCTTTTAGGCTGTTGGGATGTTGGGTGGCTGTGTTGGGCTGGGTTGTTGGGTTGTGAGCTGTGTTGGGCTTTTAGACTGTTGGGCTGTTGGGTTGTGGTCTGTGTTGGGCTGTTGGGCTGTTGGGTTCTTAAGCCGAAGGCAGAAATCTGAGTTTGCGGCCATCGCCGCCAGCGCGATGAGCTTGGAGAAGAGCAGCACACGCTGGGCCGCGCTCGCGCGCTCGTAGACCTCGAAAGGGCGCCGATGGGATGCCCCGTGGGCACCCGGAAAACAACAAACAAACAAACAAAATCACGTGTATATATATATATATGTATATATATATATATATATGTATATGTATATATAATATATATATATGTATATATATATATGTATATGTATATATATGTGTATATATATATGTATATGTATATATATATATGTATATGTATATATACATATATATGTATATATATATATATGTATATATGTGTATATATATATGTATATGTATATATACATATATATGTATATATATATATGTATATATATATATATATAGGCAGCCGCCGGGGAAGGCGTGCGTGGTGCTTTCCCAGAAAAACGGCGACTATAGTGCAAAGTGTGTGTGTGTGTGTGGCTTGATTGAGGGTGAAGGAAGCAAAGGAGAGAACCGCAAACTTGTTTTGGGGGAGCCCTCTATTTTGAGACATGCTCATGGTGACTCCTTAGCGCTCTTCCACTGTGTTCAGAAGTCTGGCAAGAAGGATCGGAAGGAACCGGGAACTTGACCAGAAAAAGGAGCTTGACATGTGCTCAAGGATAAGC